CCGCATTGAAGCTGAGAAAGATAGCATGCGGCTGGCTAAGGAATCGGTCAATGAATCTTCTGATGATGAGTTTGAGCGGCTCGAGAAAGCGTTATACGAACAGAAGGCTCGAAGCGAAGGTGATAACGAAGGTGATGACTCGCCTCAAGAATTAACAAAGACGGCTTCTGACAAAGAATTGGAGCAACTCGAAAAAATGGTATTCGATTCAGAACCTGCTAAAGAGTTGAAAAAAGGAGAATACCCGCAAAAACGTGACGGTGCTATGACGAACCAATCAGAAGTCGTTAAACGTTCAAATCATGTCGCCTCATTTCCGAACTTTCCTGTTTCTACGAGAAAAGCCGATGAAGAAGACGATCTTCTTGATATTATTGGCTCTAGCGACTCTGACGACACACTGAGTTCAGGAGATGAGGAAGATCAACCCAAACTTGTTGTCGCCGAGGCTTCCGATGACCGAGAGACACTGGGCTCTGATGAAGAGGAGAAAGTCCCGGTGTTGTGGACTGTGTCAGCTCGTACCAGTGCCCCCGCACCGCCCGTGAGCGCGGCAGTTGCGAGTGAACACAACGTCGCGTTTGTGAGTATCAGACTAAATGAACTTGTAACGAAAAAAAATTTGAAATCATGTTTGTTTAAGGTAGCAAATGGCAAAAGGGAATGGAGGATATAGGGGAAAACCAAGTAAAAATAGCGAGATTGCAAACAGTGCAGACTACTAATGCAACCGTGCATTTTTTTACTGGTCGCGCCGTTCGTAGCATATTATTGTTTTGAATATATCTAAACTGTAGTATGAGTTCGTTGGCCTGTGAGGCGCGCCATGCTGAATTATTTAGTTTGCTCTCGAGTTAATTGTGAATCTGAGCCGTAAGGCGTGCATTGGTATAGTTTATTTTGATGCAGTCTACGGCATTTGTTAACTTGAAACAAAGTGATCTTTTGACGAACAGTTAATGTTTTGCTTCACAGGAGCGTAGTGGAGGAGTTGTAGCAGTAATCGATAATGGCTCCGGTTTTTGTAAAGCTGGCTTCTCCAATGAACAGCAGCCACGCGTGGTTTTCCCAGCAGTCGTTGGTAAACCTCGACATCAGGTTAGTTGGAAGCCATAGTCGATTAAAAAAGAGGAGGAATTCATGCGGAAGCATGTTTTTGTAAATATTATCTAATTATATGGTCAACAAAAGCCGGTGCAGGACGACTTAAAATTTGTTCTTTACACGTTTGCACACGTCCACGTGGGAACTCTTTTTCACTGAGATAGTTTGGTTGTTGATTAATGAATGAAGGCAACTGAAGATTAATATGTGGTTGAAATTAAAAAGATAAATCTTTAAAACCAGTCCTTCTTTGGTTTAAATTTTTCAGGAGGCCATGATGCAAGATTACAGAGATTACTATGTCGGTGATGAAGCACAAAACATGCGCGGTGTGTTGACTCTCAAGTACCCGTTGGAGCATGGGATTGTAATGAACTGGGATGACATGGAATCGGTTTGTTTCTATCGTTGTTCTCTTTGCGATATTAGTTTACTGCCCGCCTAAGTTTTCCTTTTAGTTGATTAAAGTGGTCTTGTGGGCTTTGGCTCATGTGTCAATGTGCCTTTTTGTCTGTGTGACTGTCTGTCTTATTTCTTGGAAAGAGGGCCAACTTTAATTCTTAAGCAGAATTCCTATGGTTTTTACTGCTGCAAGGATTCTGCTCTCGAGCGAGAAGCAGTTGAGATTTTTAACTATTTAAGATCTACTTACAAGGCTTATATTCGTGCGCAGTGTTCCCAGTTAGCTCAGAGGTGACGAAACATCTGAACTTCTTCGTATCTATGTATGTATTTATTTTTCAGTTTTTTTAATCACAGATTTGGGGTTACACTTATGACCAGCTGCGGGTGCTGTCCCAGGATTACCCGGTCATGTTGACAGAGGCGCCCTTGAACCCAAAGTACAACAGAGAGCGTATGCTACAGATCATGTTTGAGACATTTGAGGTGCCATGTCTGTACATAGCTGTGCAGGCTGTCATGGCCTTGTATTCTACGGGACGAACTACTGGTAAGTATAGATCTAGGTATATATTCTACATTATCCTGGTAGTGAGAGATACATGATGAGTTGCGAACAACTAATCCTGTTTCCTCCAAGACAGAGCTTTTCCACACCCCCCTCCCTCCCCCTCAAGACAGAACGCTCTCGTAGATCCTAAGAGGATCTAGTAGGAACTAAGCCTTTGTCAAAAATTTGCTCACGTGGATAGCTGATGAGACGAAATGCTGGTAAAATTTTACGTAACATCTAAAAGAATAGTTACAACCAGTATAAAAATAACTTTTTTGAGAGGGATAACTGTAGATTCAAGGCCTTTATGAAAGATTTATTCTCTCAGGAAAGCCTCAACTTCTTTATTCTGTTGAGGACTTCTTTTTCCCCCTTGTCACTCAGGCACCGTTTTCGACTGCGGTGACGGAGTGAGCCATACTGTTCCAGTTTATGAGGGCTACTGGCTCCCTCACGCCACCCAGAGAATGGACCTCGCGGGAAGGGACCTCACCAAGTATATGATGAGAATCCTTACGGAGCGGGGTTACTCGTTTACGACCACAGCGGAGAGAGAGATAATACGCGACATTAAGGAGAAACTTGCCTATGTGGCCCTTGATTTTGAGCACGAACTACAGGAGTCTGAGACAAGTGACAAATTTGAGGAGTTATATATGGTATGTTATGGACTTAAGTTCGTGGAGCTCCTTTTGTGATCAAATACCGCTCTTACTTCACCGCACGGTAAAGATGAAATCCTTTCTCTTGTTATTCCACAGCTTCCTGATGGTCAGTCCATACGCGTGGCAAATGAGCGATTCCGCTGCCCAGAAGTATTATTCAATCCCAGCATGCTTGGCATGGACATGGTTGGAATACACGAGTCCATTTACAACTGTATCAAGAAATGCGACATTGACATCAGAAAGGACTTACTTGAAAATATATTACTATCAGGTACGACTCACTAAGACTTGTTCATAATTCAGCGTGAAACAGTTATCTTGATGTCATGTCTCGTGTGTACTGAAATATAGAGTGAACACCGTTGTGAAATGAGAATTTCAACATGAAGAGATGTGAAGCATCCTGCTTTGCAGGGGTCTTAAAATGGAATTTGAGTGGGTGCTATCAGTGTGGAGAAAGGGGATCAGAGCGGGCAAAGGTGGATATTCTTTTATCCTTCCCCTGCCTGCACCTCTTTTCACACGTCTATCGTCCATACCCACGACATAAATGTCTATCTTCCTCCCCCAAACTTCCTTTTGCCGTAAACATCCAGGATAAACTTTCCAATTAGCGGTCGCCTGCCAAAAATCGTCAGCACTTCAAGTTTTCTTAAATTACATTTAATATCTTTCTTGATCACTTATCCTCTTTTAAAGGTGGAAGTACAATGTTACCTGGACTTCCTGATCGCCTTCATAAGGAGATATCAACTCTTGTTAATCCACGTGACCCTGGCCGGGTCAGAGTTGTCAGCCCTGATGACCGGAAGTACGCTGTATGGAGCGGAAGTGCCGTGTTGGCTGGACTCTCAACATTCCCACAGATGTGTATTTCTGTGCAGGAGTACGACGAAATGGGACCAGAAATTGTGCACAGAAAATGCTTTTGATTTCGCTGCAAAGTTTAGCTGAGAAAAACCCGAATATTGCGACTATAATAATGACTAATTCATGATATTAATGTTACAGTTATCAGGTACATGAGATGTTGATATGTAGCCAATTAATTTATGGATAGTTTTTTTTAAAAGACAAATGTTACAGGCACAGTTATTCTGCTCTATTTATTTGCCAGGTCACACAGGAAAGAAATACTACATGCACCTAGTTTAATTTAAATGCATTTTTATCAGATTTTGATCGTCATATTTTTTAATTCTTGTATGCCAGATACAACACAATTACAATTCATAAAATATTACCATTTTGCTCGGACACTTTGATGCGCCAGCCATCAAACTTTTGTCAGGAACCCGTAACCCTTTAACTCCCAAGATCTCATTAGAAATTCTCCTTACTGTCTGCCATGCAGAGGATTTACACATCGTAAAGGACTCTGAAGTTTTTTATTATTATTATTATTAGAACACTAAATTTTTACAAACGAAATGTCATAACTCAAAAAAATATTTACCTAAGTTAAAATAGTTCCTTCTTTGTAAAGTTTATATGTCACTTTATGCATAAATTTATTATATAACAAATCGCAAAGATATTTATCAGGAGATGTTGTGCATTTTTGTGTCTGTGTTAGCGACTCGAGTTGTAGTACCCAGTTCACTCCCCCGGAAAAGTGCTACATACGAACGGAACATGGATTATGGGTAACAGGCATAGCTCAGTTGTTAGGGCGCTCACATCCTATTGCTGTGGCACGGGTTCGATCACCGGATGTGGTATCACGGTTCAAGTTTCTTCTTGTCCTTGCCTCTGAAGTTTTTTCCCCGGGTTCTCTTGTTTTTTCCCCACACATAAAACCAACACTCCCAGTCCCAATTTCAACCCGCCCCTCAAAAAAAAAAAAAGAAAGAAAGAAAGAAACAGCCGGACGAGGTGCTTCTCAAAGTTAAATTCCAACTTTAAAAACATCAATTCTGTTGACGTCTTTTATTCTTATGAGACTTGTGTACATCTGCGCATGCCAGTTTTATAACAACCTTAGCTCCCACTCCCCCCACGTTAATTTCCACGGTACATGAAAAAACCTGACTGGTTGCTTAAACAGACTATGGAAATCCGCACGGCGACACAATTTTGTTGAAATCTTCAGGCTTGTTTTGTATGAACCACATCGTTATGGTAAGGTAAGCAAAAATTGAGCTTAAGCATAATAAAAAGGGTCCCCTTGAAAGAGCGAGTGGTCTGTTTTAGATCGCTCATTACGGCGATCAGCAATCACTTGCCGATGCTTGGGTCGTAGGTGAAATGCTGTCTTCAAATTATGGCGAGTTTTAGAGGATAGACAGACCTCGGCGGCAGCGGCAAGACAAGCTGTGCAGAAGTAATTTGGAATGTCGGCAATCCAGCGGAAATTGAAGACAATCCTTATACTGTTGGTTATAATATACTTGATGATCAACATTTATCACACATCACGAGCTATTTTGCGAAACGAAACGCAGATCGCTTTGTTGAGAAAAGTTCAAAACAAACCGCTATGCATGGCGCAACAGAAAATAATTCAGCGTCTTCGAAGACTCACCAAAGATTTGACTTATGTTAGAATGTCTGTAGATCGCGACATTGCCATGGCGAAAGTAATCGACGGTCATTACGACAACCTACGACAGCTTCTTCGAGAAATCGAGTTTATTACGAGTGCTAGCGTGGACTCTAAAGATGGGCGAAGACGGTCCGGTGATGATCAGGTGAAAGAATCGCAAATTGTATGTCCCGAAGTTTATAAAGGATCAACTTATGGCTATCCGTTTTACAGAAAAGGTTTTCAAACTGAAGAATGTTCTGTCAAACAGGACGTAAATGAACTTGTGACATTAATTTTTGATGAAGTTGTTTTAACGACAGAAACTGGTGACCAAATAGAGGATTTCACCCCTACAAGTCGTACTGGCAGGTTTATTATGTTCCTTGAAAGCGTGTACCGTTTACATAAAGGAATCCGAACTCATTTTATTCTAGGAAAAAGTTGGAATCAACATGAAATCGAAACGCTAAGGAGCAAAATAATCTTTGATTTACACACCAAAATTTACATCCACTCTCTCAGAAACTACACGTTTAGCAAAGGAGAGTTACTTCAACACATTATAACTGGAATAAAAACTCAATATATCTTGATTGCATCCAGTTTGACACGTTTTACAAACGATATCAATCTTGAAAGGCTTCTAAGAGTTCTCTCGACTCATAAAAATACGTTCTTTGCGGGTGGCAGTTGGAGAAACTTTACGGGTCACTGGTCAAACGGCTGCCTTCAAACGCAGCTTAAAAATTACACCTTGACTTACAAATCCGGTTATTATCGTTCATTTAGTGAATGTTTAGTTTGCGATTACATATCTGGCCCATTTATGGCAAAAACATCCGTGTTGAAAGAATTTAAATTTCATTTGCGCGGAAATAATGGTATTTTCCAAGAACTGTTCCTGAGAGTAAAAGATCGATATTTCAACTCACATCCGGGACTTGGTCACTCTGGGACCTCGGTCATCAGTTGCCCGGATGTCATGTTCCATCGGCAGCCTTCTCCGGTACTTGACGAAGATCTCGTAAATTTTGCAAAGAAACACAGCATTAAAAAGATAGTCGAAGCCGATGGCAAAACTCGATGGTTTGGTTGTAGAAGGGGTGTAAAGCATCGTGAAGAAGAAAAATGTCCCTTGAAGTCAGGATTTGTCGTTCCACCATGCTGTTTGGAGAATTTAGCAGATGCAATCAAATTTGTGATGGAGCAATGCGAAAGAAATAATATAACTTGCGAGCTGCAAGAAGGAACATTATTAGGAGCTGTTAAACTCAACAAGGTGTTGCCTTGGGAAAGAGATGCCGATATTGCATTTCTCACTGCAGATTTTCCAAAGATAGTCAAGATAAAAGACGCGTTCACTAGTCAGCGATATGTGGTCCATGAAATAAGTAAGTAGGAGACAGCATTTACCTTATGTTCAGTTTCAATATCAAACCTGTTAATCTTCTTTTGGGTACTCACAATCAAAGCGAGTTGATTCGAGAATCTATCGATGACAAAAGGACCTACTAGCCCCTGTCATTTCCCAATACTCAAAGCATAGCATAACATGCAAAGAAATGACTGATAGTATGATAAAATAAAATTAATCTGCCGCATATTTCAAGAGGGAACGGAGGCATATACCCACAAGCAGCCATGAATATTTCTCTCTTTTGTTATACAAATTTTCATTTAACCTTTTTTCGGAAGAAAAGCAATTAGCTTAACGACACATGCACTGCTGACTCCAAGAAATGTCTGCTCATTAGGTACTTGAATACATTTCCTGTGCAGTTTAAAATTTGAATGGTTTTGGTGTTCAGCCGCCAAATTTGAAAAAGGTTCTATAACTTAGGCCATGCTTTTAGCTTTATATTCCTTTTCAGAGGAGCCATGGTGCTGTGTAGAAGGAATTGAAGCTGGTGGTAAGATTGAGCTACTAGCTGATGGATGGTCCATTCAGATGTACGGCCAGCATCGGATGAACCCAAGAGAGATCCTCGTCAATGAGCACCTCCCCACGAAGGTCCTCTTTAGCGGAAACTGGTTAAACGCTCCTTACAATCCAGGGCTTTATGTAAGACATCGCTACGGTCAGGAAGTTTATAAACACGCCGAACACTGGTTATCGACTGGAAAACAGTCCGGTTGGGACGCATACGAAACTGAAGTGTTCAGTTCATGTCCTGTGAAGGGATTCCACGGGTGTCTTGACCAATATGAGCCTGACGGGTCCATACAGTTCGATAATCACTGGTAAATCTGCCTTCGATTTAATTAATACTTAACTTGTCGGCATCGGTCTGATCTATTCCGTACAGACGATGTGGTTTGGTTAAATTGAGTTAATCAGCCATCAGGAAGACAGGTATGTAACAGTTCTAAGGCTAATGTGTAAGTTTATTGAAATTTGATAAATCTCCGAGACGAAGCAACCCTTAAAATTCCCAAGAAAAACTGTTCGACTCTCATTCTCAATTGATATAACAGATGATCAAACTGAAAATGAAGTCAAGGAGGTCACAATGAAAGCTTGACAATGAGATCATAGCTCTGCGTATACTCGAGTCTTACTTTAACATACAATCTTCGACAAGGTTTTTAAAGACTTCAAGTGTTCACCCTTTATTGAAAAAAGTAGCCGGAATGGAAGGCCTTCTCCGTTCATCAGTTGAATTTTTCTTTTGTGTGACTGTGCTCACCAGTCTAGCGCCCTCTCGCAGCATGGACCCCAATGTCTCCTTGCGCGAGTCAAATAGTTTACCGTGCTCCATCTCCATCAGGTTCGACATCAAATCGCCACCAGTTATCTGTGTGGGCTGAGGACATGCGAACAGTGTCAATCACTGTAAAGGGTTGAGTGATTTAGATTAATATTATTGCTTTTTCTTCCAAATGACATAGTAATCCATGGCAGGTTATCAATTCCCCCTCCCCCCCCCCTCAAGTATTCCTTTGGCTTCCATAACAGTTTGCTGGCACCTATTCATACTCTTGGATGGAGAGAGGTACTACTAGAGTAAATTTTCTCTCCCCAGATCACAACACAAGGAGCTCGAACTCAAACCTCTCAGTGCAGAATGGTAGACACCAGGCCACCACATTGGACACTACATGTATGATAGAACTTTGAAAATAATGCATAGAATACTCTCCCAAGCGCATCTTTGGTTAAAAAAAAAAAAAAAAAAGATCACGTGACAAAAATAGACTGAGAAACATCGCACGAAGTAATAAGGTCAAATTACAATATTGTTGTACTGATCATTTTTCATTACACAAAATAGTCAAAGTATTGTTTACATTTAACAGACTGATGGCGTTCTTCCAAATCCTTCAAGAATAGTCTCAGCTTAGCTTGAACAATATGAACAGATATCAGTTTGCTCGGGGAGGAATTTAAACTCATCTTAAATAATGGATACGATCACCCCAATAAAAAAGAGCCAAGATTCTCTTCTTTTCTCTAAAAAGTAATCTAATGATTTCCCTCTGATATTTAAACAGTGTTCCTACAAAATCCAAAACTCAAAGATGCAAATTCCATACCTCAAAATTATCGTCGCTCCTGGTTTTCGTATCATCGGGTTCGTTGTCGTTCTTCAAAATCCCTTCCTTCTTCGCCTTCTCTTGTAGCTCCGACACTTCACCAATTATCTGAGAAAAGAGAAAGCATGATCACTGAGTAAAAACAAACAAAACAGCCGTCAAATTACCCTCTATAGCAAATAACATGTATCCTTTCCCCACCGTGAGTGTCTAAAAAAGAATTCTCCTACCATAGCAGCATAATAAATGATTCTGTAGCAATGTAGATATTCATGAAGGAAGGTAAAGAAATGCCAGAAAATATCAACTCAGTTGGCGATATTGTTTGATTTGATTACGAACCCCTGGAGCCAACGTCATAGGGAAAGTACGGAAAACAAAGGAAGGACTAAGAGGTACAAACATCCGCCTGGTTACCTCTGGTATGACAAGTACCAGTCACTGCACTTCACGACCACAGATCAATTTACCTTCACTCGAGACATGACATCTCCATTGGAAACTATTCATCCTACTTTCTCACCTCATTGATCTCTGCCTTGATTCTTTTCGATTCTCCCAGATTTTCTTCAATCGCGCTCAGAATGAGGAAATAATTTTCTAGTTTCTCGGAAGGAATTTTTGTCAAGTCCTATGTAATAAAAGATCTATTTAAAGAAAGCGACCAAATATTTAACCTCAGGACAAAAAGAAAGAAGCTATAAATCTAGATATAATTGAAATTTCCCAACACCAGCCGCTCTCCCGAGAAATGACGTCGTCGCTCACCCATGCATTTAAACGAAAGCAAGACACGAGAGAGATAGAAGTCTACTTAAAGAAAGCGACCAAACATTTAACCTCGGGACAGAAAAAAAAAGAAATTATAAATATAAATATAATTGAAATTTCCCAACACCAGCCAGTGTCCAGATAAGGCATCGCCGCTCGTCCATGCATTCAAACGAAAGCAAGACCCGAGAGAGAGGCTCAAGTCGGGCCTGGTATAATGCACTCTCGGCTCGACAACGCTGCTGCCCCAGTTAAGAAATTAAGTCCATTCTGAGAGCAGCGGCAATCGAGGCCACATGCAGAGATTAACAAAAGCGTGCCAGGATAACAACGACAAAACTTGGTTTCTTGCAAGTTTTTTAAGTACTAATAAAAAAGTAACCACTCATGTTGTTCAGAAGGAGTTCTATGTTAACAGTTAATTGTTGTAACACCTCTCTTCACTGCAAAATAATTCACTAATTAAGTTGGAATAACTTGCTTTCGCCACGTGGCAAATCTTGCATCAATGAGAAACATTTGCATTTGATTTGAAAGGGAGACATTACTCAGACTATTTAATTTTCTGTTGGATCTTTCTTAAAGGTTAAAGCAAAGGTTAGCCAAATCAAAGATATAATGTGCCGTTGTGCCGTTTGACGAACTTTTCAGTAAACTAAATTATTTGTCTATCTAGTGTAATACCTTTTACACGCAAAAAACTTTCCTTTCAATAAGTCAAATCTTACCGGTAACTGAAACGGCATTTGTTTCAAGTACACAAAACTTGGAACTTCTTCAACTCCCACAGTCTTCAGAGTGGTGTCTGAAAATTGCAAATACTAACCTTAGCCTGCCGGTTTTGTGCCACGGTGCTTTGAAGCTTTGTGCGGGGAAACCGAGAGAAGGAAAGGCGAAGCCGCGAAGGGTTTAAGACGGGATACACTAGTTTCTTTTTGATGCTCCACTCCCCGTTTTCTCGGCTCCATCCGCGGCCTATTTCAAGCGATCGAGCGCCCCAAAACCGCAAGCTACGCAGGCTACACAAATTCGACCGATTTCATAAGTCTTTACAGTTCTGTCAGCGTCCAGTATGAGGCTGATGTAAGAACAAAATGATAAGACACTGGAAATTCTTGAGCTACCAGAGCGATGATTTCCGCACTGTACAGTCATTTCTCCAGAGCCTCGAGAATCCGATTTAGTCTCAAGTAATCAATATAGTGCCCCGCAGTTAGTTCTTTCATCCTCATCCTTCTGCCGCTTAAAATTGTTTATTTCATTTCAAGTTTTCTTAAACATTTTACAAGGCTGCAATTAGTCAGATCGGGAACTTAATGATTAAAAAGCTTTTTTGCGCGCCTGGACACAACTTACCATCTCCGTCAAGTTTGGCTTTGAGGTCATCTTTTTCTCCGCGATCTTTTCCTTCGGTCTTCACATCCACCATAGCAAATTCCTTTTTGAGTGAGTAAATGAAGGTGACAGTGAACACACAACTCACATATGGCATCGCAATGCTTGAAACACAGTCGGTAGAGGTTTTGTCAATTGTGTTGGTATTGTAAATTAGCCCCCGTAAAGACTTTCTAGAGCTAACGTTTCGAGCGGCAGCCCTGCGTCAGAGAGATGACGAAGGGATAACGCTCGAAAAGGCAGCTTTCAGTAGAAACTCTTTTCAGTGGCCAAGTTACATCATGAACTCAGTTGATAACAACAAACTATCTCGTTAGGGTTTTAAAGGATTGGTTTAAGGAGTGAGATTCGTTGCGGAATACAGCTGTTTACACCAAATCTTTCGTTTAAGTATTTTACCGTCAGAGTTTATCACTAACCAGATTTGTTACCACGACAGCCACAACAAGGTTGGCGAAAACGAACGCACCAATCGCTATGAATACAAGGAGAAAGAGTCCTCCACCAATGTAGTACGTCTCTCCAACATCCTGCAAGACACATAAAACACAATATAGTAAAAACTGTAACAAGACCTTCCTCTCTGACAAGTTCCTCCCTCTTCCAGAAATAAACATGTAAAAAAAGTAGCCCTGGATAATAACACATATACCACAGTACTGCCTTTCATTTGAGCTGCGTAGCATTTAAGCAGTTCAATATGTTGTGCATCATCAATAAGTTTATCGTCTAATTACCTGAAACGCTTTGAAAATCTCCATCCAGCCATCTTGAGTCAGACAAACAAAGAGATAAAACATTGCTGAAAGAAGTTAAGTAAACGCGACTCATATGATCGGAGAAATGACGCTCTGAAGTTTGAAATCATAACCGAGCTCCTGCGCGCAAAGCGCGCAAGCGGAGACCCATGCTTTCTACTCACAGACACTCATATGACCGGAGTATAGCATAGTTATTAAGCAGACTACTCGTACAGATGCCTGTTTTTTTAATTAGATTTGAAAATGTCATTTCCCTTGATTTCCCTGGTGGCATATCGTTTCTTTTAAAGATCACTTTATAAGAAAAACAATAGTGAAAGGATACAGCTCGAGAGATTTCCAAAATACATGGGAACAATGTCTCTGAACAACGTGACGCCAATCACTGAAAACACCAGCATGATAATCACGAGCAACAATACTATATTCGCCATGTCTGTGAAGAGAAGAGATCATGCTATTGGGCTACAGTGTATGTGTTATCTACAAAGGGTTCTCCAGATTAACTAAGACAGTATTGTGTATGGCGACCGATAAACAAGCGGCCGTGTCGCACTTTTTATGCTTAGCACACGATCTCGGGGTCTCTGATAATTTTCCCACATTGCTTTCCCAAAATTACAGCATAGGGTTGTAACACTACTAGCTAGCCGCTAATCTGAGACAAAAGCAGTTACAATGGCGAATCATTGCGAAGGAAAACATCACAAGCAATACATGAAAAACGTAAAGACCGAGTGAACGAGAAGTAAAGTGCTGGAACAGCAGAAAAACGCGAGTAACCGATTCATCATACTGTTGCACGCAGTTTGATTAGTCGAGAGGGTGGCTCCAGTGTCCAGGTAGGCGTAATAAAAATAACGACGAAACGCCGGTTTCTTTCCACACTGAACTGTTTGTTTATCCTATACACTCACTTATAAAATTCAAATGTTACTAGTTGTCATGCATACAGCCTAACCCGCCTATAGTAAATACTCTGACTCTGTATAGGTCCAGCTTGTCACGGTAACACAAGGCATAAGAGCTAGAAAAAAAAAAAGGAAAAAATGACCTCACCGGGAACTGACTGTAATATTGTCTGTACAACAATCTGTAACCCAGGCAAGGAAGTGATGCTATAATCAAATTAAAACAAGACAAATTTAGTCAACTTAAGTCATAAACACACCCAACTATCTACTGCTTTTGAGAAGTAAGGTAGCCTGTTTGTGCGGCCGTGGCATTATTTCCATCATACATAACAGTTTGCCAAGTGTGAAGGGAACTTTGCTTATCATACTAAATGGCTTGCCAGGCCCTCACCACAGTCCCTACCCTTTCCCTCTTTGCCCCTAGAAAGACAGTTGGAACCATGAACCACTGACTACCTTGACTTACTACGCCTCTAATTTAAAAATAGAAAAAAAAAAGAAACATGACCTATCACTAACTGGTAAACATGTAGGTTTAATTTTGTCAGCTCAATACGACGAGGAAAAGATAATACAACACCACCTGAGAGTTCTCTACTGTTGTTAGACTGGTTTTTCATTATAATCAGTTTTCTACCTTCTAAGACTGCGGAAGGCTCTCAACACTCGGAGAATTCTCAATACACCTCTACTTCCTGATCCTGTGCTAAGCACTAACAATACCATAAAAATGCCTCAGTGGTAATAAAAAAACAGTGATGAAAACAGTTATGTACTGCAACCTACAAGAAACTAGCTAAGTTCCTCTTCTGGTCAGGTTATCAGGGATGGAAAAAGACTTGATCACAAGTGAGTTCAAGGCATAAGAAGCGCTCATATGAGGTGTGAAGAAGTTGATAAATGTCCCTTGCATGAATAAATTAACCTCATTATAGCTTGAAAAGATACTGGATGGATATTAGTGGTGGCACTTTTATGGGTGGCTTTTTGTCCACTGTTTCAAAGATTGCATTGGAAATTTGGAGAATTTGTTTTTTTACAAGGAGGTATTTTCAACTGGACAACCTACTTTGTACAAATGAACCTCTGGTATTGTCTAAACTAAAAAATTACACCTGATGCAGTCATTATTAACATGTTTTGTGGTGAGATCCTGTCCCCTTCTCCCTCCATTTACTCAACTACGCATATTTAATTTGAACTAGTAAAAATACCAGAAGGTGGAAAAACAATAAATTGCAAGTGAATATTAAAAACTTCATATCAACAATAAACTCACAAGGTCCAAGAAGGAGAGCCACCACAATGAAGAAATCAAGAACATTCCATCCCCTCTTCCAGAACATAAAAAATCCATGATACCATTTGACAAGAATCTCACACACAAAGATTGTCATTAGGCATTGATCTAACACTGAGAACAAATGACTGTACTTCTCCTCCTGTTGAAGTATCAGGAATTGGAAAAAATTTGAACATTAAACTATTAGCAGATTATTTTCCTGTTTCTTTACATCATTCCCTGTGAGAGACTGGTGGCCTTCAGGTAGTGAGCTGGACTGGTGGAGAGGTTCAGGTTTGGGTGCTGACCAGGATTTTTTGCTGTGTTCTTGGGCCAAGCACTTTCCTATCACAGTGCCTACTACCCAGGAGTATAGATAGGTACCAAAGAGAACTGTCTGAAAATGAAATTCTAAGGGGGGTGGTGGGGTGGGGTTAACATTGGACTAGTATCCAGGTGGTAGCAGTTATACTCCTAGTTGATTCATGCTACAGAAACAGGGGTTTTTTATAACATAGCTCTAGCTGGACTGGTCACTTAGCTCAAGTGCAAAATTCATCCTTACCTTATCTTACATCATTCTTTTATACTACAATTCTTCATGAAAATACTGACAGTACACAGACAGAAGGTCTACTAAGTAGCTCAGGATTGTGTGTTTAAGGGTTGTGTTATACTCACAAGTTCCTGGTCTGTCTCAACAGCAATCAGTATACTGTTGAATAAAATGACACAGAGAATTCCAGTTCTGAACACTGTGTTAGACAAAAACTGCCCCAATAGCTCGTTAGAAGCATATTCCTCAATTGCCTCATCATCCAAATCCACAATATCCCACATGTTTTCCTCCTCATTCTCTTTTGACATCAGAAGTTCTTCTTTCTAAGAGGTGAAAGAAACATGCTAACCAGAAGATGTAGACTTACTTGGGCAAAAATTTTATTGCATATTGCAGCACAAAGACAAAAAATGTAACTCTGTGGCTGAAGCACCACTAGTTCAGTTATATCTTTGGCAATTACTGCATCCCTCAGGAAGACTTCATCAATTAAAGTGTAAGGACATGAGGAGCAAAGCTTTCAGAGACAAGTTTAATTTCATACTGGTTGCCAATGAGGGTTGTGGTAGGTAACTTACCATCTCTGCAGCCTAACTCTGATGGCGTAGTTTGCTGTAGCACCTATAATAGCCTGCTCTCACAGGCTAAACTATGGCTGTGTGTCAAGGGGCAATGAGCCTATATTTATTGGACCCACCTATAAGAAGTGTTGGTGGAGTGTCAATGCATGTATCAGGGTTAGTACCCTTTTTCAGAAAATAACTTTCAAGGACTTTTCCAGTACTTTTCTAAGACTCCAAATTTTCACCTTAAACTCTTTCATTACAAAGATTTCTAAATCAATTCTCCTTATGGTCTACAATAATTTCCTCATAACATAAATTCTGAAAACTTTTATTGCTTGAGTTAAGCAGATTTACAGGAATTACCAGGGCCTGTAGTCTGTAGTCTACGACTTTCCAATGTCAATATAAAATTCCAGGATTTTCCAGGTTTCTCAGGACCTGTACAAACCCTGACATATATTTTCAGAAGTATGAAAATAAGACAAAGGCTCAAATTCTAGATCCAAACATGTGTAATAAAACAAAATCTCTCTCCATCAAACTCAAAAAGGACTGTAAAACTAAAGAGCACTGTCTGGTGTTTCAATTTTTGTTCGGTGAAAGCCTTGAAAATCCTGTTGACACTTCCCAAAAGGTTCTTTTGTTACCATATATTTTTAATTGTTAATTGTTTTTATTTCAACATTACCTCATTCTGTACTGCATGGAAAACTGCATGGAATTCTTTCTCACTGCATTGAAATCAAAGAAATTGAACAGGATTGACATTACATGATAACAGTCACCAGGTCTTAAAAGATTTTAAGTTATCTCTATATGTGAAAAGGGACAAGTCCATCAGTTAACAAAAAGCACCTATTTGCCAGGATTTATGTCATTCAGTGGCATTGCATTTTAAAAACATCTACTGAAAGTAGCATAAAACAGGCAATTAAAGGAGGCAATTCAATATTCAGCAGCATGACTAGTGTGGAACTTTTACCCTCTTAAAAGAAAAAATGCAAGACAGTACACACATATGCAAACACCTTACAGTAATTGGTTATTTCTAATTAGTAAAACCTAGAAAAAAACTCCTAACTACTAAAGCATAATAGTGATAAGCATCTAATTTCTCAAAACAGTATCACTCCCGCATCAAACATAAACACCATGAGGATAAAGGAAATGATTGGGAAGTCAAGAAGCTTTTGATTGTTAAAAGTGTATCGAGTATAGTGTGGAGAACTTATCTACTGCTGTTAAGGTATCAAGGGTAAATAAGTTTTATAATTTACAGTAGGGTGTATTCATACTTTGGATCAAAGTAATACTGACAGACTTTCAGTTGATCAGGCAGAGCACAAAATAGGGCTTAACCTTTTCTCTTCTTCCTTGTCCTTTCCAGAAACATCTTTCAAAATAGAGGTAACCTTCAGGCGGAGCATCACCCTGTCAACAGTCTTAAAGAATAACCACAAGGATAAACATGACTAGCAGAATGGCATGAAAATATAAGTAAGGGCCTTACCATGTCCAAGCAACCTATGTAATTCAACGTGCAACTATGCTGCACCACCATCATCACCACTTCCTAGATCATGCTCATTAAATAACGACTTTCTGGGGAGGGGACACCAATGGCACAATGTTCAGAGGTATTTAAAGAGTACTGACACATAACTTCTGCAAGTCAGGTTTGCTTCCTAAACCCAGCATAAGGCAAAGGATACTTTGTTAAGCATTCTCCAACCCCACCCCCCTCTTTTCCATGAAAACCAACAAGAATTTGTTGTCTACACACACATAATGAACCAGCCGTTGTTGTGCCACTGCTAGATTATCTGTTTATAAATTCATTCATCTACTTATTTTTCATAAAATATTATTCATCTCATCACAATTTCATAGACAAGGTACAAATTTTTCACAGAGGATATTATGTCGAAAAGGCTATTTCTATTTTGATCTATGCGGACTACTAACTCTTTCCATAAAGTTCACTATCTACACTGTAATTTATACATACAAATGTTCATGTGTTCATGGCCCTTAAAAACCTTTCAGCCATGCTTAAGATAGCTCAAAATTACCCATTGCTTAAGATTTTCTTTTAAAAAATTGACCGTCATTTTTTGAAACTCAAATGATAATTCCTGGGATAAGCACAAAAATCTGGTTGATGGTATTATACAATGTCTACCAGGGGTAACTGATGAGTCTGTTTATATGTTAAGGGTTTTAAACTTACACTTTTGAGGGAACTGGTCATGTTGGTTTTCTCCTGTTTATCCGCTGTTTCCTCTGAACTATCACCTTCATTCTTGGAGAATCCTGTGGTGATCTTATTCAAGAGTTTGACTTGATTTACTCCCTAAAAATCAACATTTCAACGCTCAGATGCAGAGTACTTAAAAATTGAAAGACGCTATAGCACTTGGACATACAACTTGGTCTAAAGAATTAAGTGCTACCTTTTTGAACCTTGAAGCCATTACTAAATTTAAACTGCTCAGCTGATATTCAAGAAATCGGGCTGCAAGCTAGCAAGAAAAAATTAAAACAACATCAGCGTCAATTTCAACTATTTTGCGCTGACCAACGGTAAAAATGAGTTGGAAGCAAAATTTGAAAACGGCAGAAACCAAACTTATTGCACTGTTTACCACAATGTACGCGATGTTAAAAGGACAGGTTATTCATAACAACGTGTTGTTTCTTCTTCATTTCTCACTGTGGCGCGTTTCCACTCCTCAGCCAATCATCGCACAGTTTATTCGAAGTATGCATAACTAGCACGTCTCCAACCTCCGTCTTCCAAGGATCAAGAGGGAAATTTCGGTAATAGCTGGTTTCGGACGTGGTAAAAGGTTCAGCCACGTGTATTTTTGTTTGTGAGAGTGTGTTAGTTGTCGTTGTTTATTTCCCATTATGTTTCTGCTTCTGTAAATTTTTTTCCTTTTTTTTTCGTTCTTTATGCTGTTGCGTTTTTTTAATCGATTTTAACTTTTCCTTTTCATGGAGGTAAAATGAGACTCATATGGTTTCTCTTAGCCAGTAGCTTTTGCATCATATTTCTGTTAAGATGGGTTTTTGTTCACTTGCATCCCTCTGGTACGTTAAGCCAGCTTTCATCGACATGAGCCCGTGCTGCTGTTCACAAAACAAAGCCCGTTTTCTTTTATGCACTTGTTGCGATTTCTTTAAAAAAAACGAACCTTAATTGTAAGTAGTCAGGATGGCCGAGCGGTCAAAGGCGCCAGACTCAAGGGGTATTCCCTTCCCAGAACTCGCAGGGATGAGTGTTCTGGTCTCCGAATGGAGGCGTGGGTTCGAATCCCACTCCTGACAACTATACTTTTTTATAACATTTTCCCCTCGAGCAGCATGCGAGAAAAACAAAACGTTCTTCTTTGACTCAACGATTAATAATGGTAATAGGACCGAGTGGAGTCCAATTCCAATCATACGAGTAATTAACAAAATCCGGTTTATTAATCACGAGTATGATTACAGACAGAATTGGACAACAAGAAGTCCTGTTACCAATTAATCAAAACTATGACAGAATTTGAGAAAGAAACTAAACGTCGGGTATACATTTTCATAAAAATATCAACATTTAACTCGGCGAAATGCGAGACAACAGCGCGCGCTCATGACGCGTTCTGTCCATTTACATAGGCATGACGTGTTAACTGTCCCTTTAACTGTCCTAATATATACACTGTCTAATTACAAGCATGACGCGTACACTGTCCTATTGGTGCTCAAATTGGGCTGGTGATAACCAATCACGTTCGAGAATTTTGCTATAGTTTTGATTAGCCTGTGTACTGCAACCATGCACGCGTCTCTTATATTAGAGAAACACAGCTCCACTGTTAAGAAAGATTGTCTTTCGTTTTATTTACTTTCCAATTGTTTCTATATCCTTTCACTTAAGATAGAAGAAAATATATTTATACAAGTAACGTTTCTTTCTGTACGTATATACAAGCCAGAGAAATTTTTTCTCCCAAGACAACTTAACAGCTTTATCTGTGTTCAAACTCCGGATCTTGAACGACACAGAACGTCAGAGTTTGTAACAAAGAATTAAATATGAGTGTCGAACAATCATCTCTAATAAATAATTATTTTCTTTTTTTGTAAAAATAAAATCTTCAATTGTGGTTTCTTTAAGCCACACTGAACCAAGTATATACAGGACTCCATGTCGACTGGGAAGAAAGATAAAATTTTGTTTGTATCAACTGTAAAAAGTGATTTGATCACTAGTATTAAGATATGTACTTCCATGAACACGAGAAAAAATTAAGGATAAACATTTCTCAACTAGCTCGTTGTTCCGCCAAACAGATAGCGATTCTTCTGCACAATTCAGTATCGATGTGTTCAGGGAACAGTAACGTTTCATTCTCCGTTGAGCTGACTGATTTGTATAACTGTGCTTTCTTCCTGAAAATGGACTTCTTCCTGTCTGTTTTGCGCTTGAGTCCGTGCAAGAAGTAATCCAACTGACCTACGTCAACGTCTACAAACAGAATCTGTGGTTTCGTAAACTGAAAGTAAAAAGTACAAAAAACATTTGCATCAAAGACAAGTCTTCGCAAATTACACATTTACATTTTTTTTGTTTTATGTTTTTTTTCTTTTAGCTCCTTTAGCAAAACCATTTGTGACAAGGAATCAAATGTTCTTTGATTCTTGACCGTCGGTCATCAGCCCATTTGAGCTGCTGAGTTACAAGAGGAAAAACTTCGTACAAGACAAAGTGAGATAAGAGTGCTTTGGGAATCAGACAGGAGAGGATACAACGTCCCTTCTGTCACTAATCTCCGTTACCTGGACTTCATTTTCACTACAAGGTTCGCAGAAGCCATAGCCCGGAGTGTTGACGATACTTAAAACAGTGATGTCGTCCAGGAATTAAACCTGGAGCACTTATTCCAGAACTTCGAATTGTCAACCATACAATACACCTGATATAGCATGGTGAGTAACTACGTCTATTCCACAAAAAGATGTTCTGAGCTTGTGTCCAAACAAGAAATCTTAAGTCATTTTTCAATCCGTTCTTAGCGATGAACCCAACATTCATGGTATAAACAGGGTTGATTCAGATCCAGAATCTCCCAATCACGTCAATATTAAACGCTTGATCGACAGAAAGCAGAACTTTGCCGCTGAACTTGAGACTTCTGAGTTGAAATTGTACCTGTTCCGAGATATGTTCCTCATCAATGGACGTCCCTGATACATCAACCAAGAATGAACGCGACTGCAGTGCACTCTCATCCAAATGTTTTGCGAGTGCTGAAAGGACATCTTCCTACGATGCAATAAAAGATGATTTAACACTTCACGACAGTTAAATAACCATCCCATATAAACGGCCCTATAACAGCAATTCTCAATTGAGTGTCGAGAATATTCTGGGATAGCTTTGGTTATGCTCAACATCGCCATAAGATTGGTCCAGAAAAGTCATGCCACTTAATCAACCAATCAGATTCAAAACTTACACCAATCGCGACTTGGTCACTCGCGTTTTCCCGCGCTCAATGTGATATCTTCCTTCGCTATAATTGGCTGTCGTTATGTTTTTGGTTTTAGTTTTCCAACATTCAATCGAAATGTGCTCTTTTCGACTTCCAAAGTAATGGTCATACCGATGAAACTTTCCTCTTTGACTGAATTTGAAATAAAATCAGCGATTGCCCATGACTGTAAACAATGACTCTTTTTGAATATGTAATACTTTCTATTAACACATGGCTGGTGGGGTGAAGTAAACTCTGTGTTCTGATTGGCTACCATAAACGTTTGATGAAATGATTTTAAAATTCTTTTATCCAGCCTTCTTTCCTTTTAATGAATACGTGCTGTAATAAATATATGCTTGCAGCCGGAGAATGGACAGTACTTACTGCAGAGGCCTGAGGTTCTTTGATGAGTTCATGAAGTAGAACTGATTTCATGGGGTATCTGTTTTTGTCTATGGATTGATAAGTCTTCTGATCTATCAAAAACCAAAAAAATATATAGCTATATTTCTATATGCCTTAGCACCATAATTAACACAATTCTTCATAGGGGTATGCCAAGCAGCAGGTTACTTACAATCCCATGCACTTTAGGCCAGCAAGGTTTGCTGGTAACTACATATAAACAGTATTCATTTGACAAAGTGCCTTAGGTGGTTATTAAATTTTCGCCATTTTCAGCAAGAAGTACGTTTATTTTCCATCACCAAAACAAACTAATATCAAAACGTGGAGATGTAACACAAACATAGAATTAAGAGATTGTAAGTCAGTAAAGAGGTAGTGGTAAATACTCCTCTTGTTCACTTCAAGGTTAGGTACTTATTAACTTTTCCTACCAACTTGTACATCGGGTGCTTATTTGAAGTTGGGTGCTAGTTTAAATAATTACAGTGATACTGAATATTGAATATTTCTGCTAGTCCCAGGGCAGCAAAGGAGAGCACAAGTCAAGCTGTAGTAAATATGAGTTACATAATGTAATTCACTCAATCTGAGAACTCACCAAATGAGAAGAGCACAACAGTGTTGATCACTTTGCTTGCACTGAAATCCATTTCAGCTGCAAAAAAGTCCATCATAGCATCCCAGATATGTTGTACTTGTGCTGCAGATGTGTCAACCTGCACAATTCTGTCTTCCAGATTAAAATAGTTCAAGAAATCTTGCACTGATTTTTGATAGAGTGCAAAGCGACGCTTAGTTCTACTGGTGTCCATTTCATCCCCTTGATCTGAAGATGCATCCCTGGGATCTTGGCTTGGAGGCTTGGCACATGCAGGGGAATGGCTGTTTCTAATGTTCTTCAGAAGATTCTCCTTGGACAGTGTCAAGTTTAAGGCAAAAGCACAAGGACACTGAGGAGTAAACAAACATATTTAACTTGTCAAGGTGAAATGAATACACTGTTAATGTCATTAAGATAAGACATGTTTGGTGTGATATGGGCACATCCTTTCTGTCCATGTCAAAATGGATTTTTGAAGCACTACGTTATCTGAATGGAGGAAAAACAGAAAACTGTAATGAACAACTGTGAAGCAGACATGAAAACCAAAAACAAACATGCCATACATGTTACAGCAAGCCTATTCATTGTAAAAATGCCACAAAGAGCAGGTAGCAACAGAGATAGATATGTAAGCACTCTCACCTCTTTTAAGTTAAAACCCTTTAAAAACCTTGGAGTAACTGGCATCTAATTTCTCCTTACAATATTTCCACCGAATCAAAGTCAGGACAATAAAGGAAATGAATCCATCCAAGTTACAGATTTATGACCCTTTACATGACTAATAGATTGACATCTTCAGCCATAAAAATATCCACGAATTAAACTTAAATATGTAATTAAATACAAGTTATAGAATACCTTCTGTTCAAACTCTTTCATTTCAATATCACATTTCTTGATGAAGTTATCCACCCTCATCATAAACTTGAGGTTGGGAATAAGATCCACCAGTATTGGCTGATTTGGGAACTTTTCAATCTCTTCCAGAAGTATTTCCAACACCCAATCCAAGGTAAGATATTCTGGATTATCTTTCAAAAGCTCAGCCAGTCCATGTGTACCAGAAACAGGGTCCTTCCCATCTTCTGCAGCTCTTTTTGGCAGTTTCTGCAAGATTAAATCTTCTGCTGATATGAAAGCAAACCCAAACATGGCTTTGAGGTCATTCACAATACATCCTTTAGCTGATCCAGGACCTCCTACACAACATGTAAAAAAAAAGGATTTCCAGTCAAACTAATAATTCTAAAAATCAAAACAGCTTTGCTAAACCAAAACTTTAACATAACAAAGATGATCAATTTAAGAACAAGATGCTGTGTTGCTGTATATCTGACTGTTCATTAATAGATTAAACATGATATCAAAATGTGGGAAGACCAAGAGTGGAGCATGAAGCACAGTCAAGTGTATCACTGACATTCTAACCACATTTTGACATCCTCTGAAACTATGTCCTCCAGCAGATCATACATAAGAACCAACTAATCCAAATGCATGTATAACTCAGCTTATCATATAACTAAAATATAGAACATATTTCTAAGTCTTGTATTTGTGAACTTAGGATTTGCTTTATTGGTACAAAGACTGAAGGTTGCTCAAATTAAATGACTAGGCAAAAAGGAGGACGTTTGGAAGTTCTCCCTTTGTATGGACTCCAAATCCTTTGTCTCAAACTAATTTGAGGGGCACTTTCAGCCTCGTCTTGTGGATAGAAAACCATGATGAGAGGAAGGTAGAGGATTTTTTTCCATTTTGCAACTCATATATCACTATGCCCAGATGAAAAGATGAATTTTTAAATTTATTGTTTGCTGACACATTTTCACAACATAGCTAACCATCCTTCATGAACAAATAAAAAACGTTGCGGACTCCTAGAGAACATAATTTCTGTTAAATCATATTAATCACTCTGTTGGAATGTGCGCAGTACAAATAAAAGGTTCAATCCATGCACTTAATACCGCATGCTCTTAGCGGTTTAAGTGCTAGAGCAAGAGGAAAGATACTTCATCGAGCTCTCATCGTAAATATGAAATTACTCTGCTTAATTATAGCTCATTGTGTACACAGCGAAAGAAAGCTAAGAACGCTTTACGAAAACAAAGTTTTAAACCAAAGCGTGACTTTACTTCTGTATGGAAGGGGAAATTCCTCCTTCATTAATTTTTGATACAATTTAACTACAGATCTTATTCTGCAACCAGAAGAGAACATCACGCTTTAACCAAAATCTTAAAAGCAAGCGGCGAAGATGTAAAATCAATATATCTGCTGATGCACGCCAATATCTATTGACACAGAAGAAGCAAGCGAAATCGGTTTCTCCATTCATAGGGAACTGATGGTTCTTTTTCTAGTTCAATAGAATAATTAAAACAATGGCTGACATCAGCGTAAAAATCAGTCTTTGAATGTAAGGAGTGAATAATTCATGGCTCGGCTGAATGCAAAAAAATAGCCATCTTGAAACAACTTTAATGTGATGTAGCCGCTGCGATGGTATCTTTTCTTTCTTCTGGCATAGACAAAATGCCAGCTTTAATCCAAATTGTCCCTGATTTTCGGCGGGTATTGTAAAAAAATTTTCAATATATCCGCCATATATTTTCTTAAATGAACCAAACGAAAATTCAGTAGTCAAGAGTCGGCTCTTCTGCGTTCAATTTACTTCGAACAGATGTTTACTTCCAACAGGGAGAGCCCGCTGGATATCAAAAATATTTCTGTGATTAGCATTTAGCGGCTGTGCCAGGTCATATACAAAAGCATACATAGTTTCATAGCAGAGTAAAAGGACAATAAATTTCAATGGAGTATTATTAGGGCAAAGAAGAAGAAATATCACCAACCGAATATGAACACAATTCGTCGCTCTGGGTCGATCTTCTTCACACCTTTGCCAATCTCGACCACAACGTTTGGCTTTTCGACTATGGTGTTACGCCGACTAAAATCAAACTTGGATCCTTCCTTGTCCTCTTTATCCTTGGGGGTGCTAGTTCCACAACCCATTTTCTTGATACAAGCCTCAGGCAGGTCAAAATGGCTCAATTACTGTCACAAACCTAATCTCCATTGCCGACAAATGACGAGTACAAACAAGCTAAAAACGTCCTTCCCGCCTCCAGGCCTCCCTACGAGTTTCTATGGTAACGTTTTTCGCGGCAAATTATCCCGTTTCTTCCAACAGAAAAATATTCTGTTTCCACTCTCCCCTAATTGTAGCCTTACTCTTGCTTCTTTGATATCGGTCCAGGTTTTGATGTCAAAAGTATGGTATTGTCCCAATTGTGGGCTTGTAATTTAAAATTCTTTGTTTTATTCATGCAAAATCCTCTTGAGAATATTCATGACGCGCGAGGTAATGAGGAAACCAAGCACTTATCACGTCCGTTTAAGCGGTTTTTATTTCATTATTTCTTCTTTGTTTCTAAAAATGATCTTAACAAAAGAGATTTAGCACAAGTGTTAACTATTTTTTCGGATTACTTACCGTGCAATGGAGGAAAAGTAGAGTTAATTCAGAAAAAACGTCATAGATAGTGAATAGTGAACGTCCAAGTTATTATGATGGTCCTCAAAAGAACTGTTGTTGACGGTAGTAACTGACTTTTGGACAGCCTTATAAGCGGAAGTCATCATCCAAGAAATTTGGAATTTAAACCACAAGATCCCACCATTCAATTCATCCAAACCATAGAAAAGATGAAACAATCATCAAATATTCTAAATGAGCCTAAACACTACTCGTTTTAACTTACCCAGTGGTCATGTAAATTTTGGAAAAATTATTTCCATTCGATTCTATTTTTTTCGTGAAATTGTTTGGTCATACATCATTGGACTTACTTGCATATAAACTAGCTCTCCAACAAGTTCTTAGCATTGGTCCATGAAAGTTCAATGGGTTAATTCCTAAGAGGATTAGTTCACTTGCATGAAAGGGAGACAACATTTAGTAGCATGTCTGTTACTTTTGTTGTATCAAATCTGAGGAACAGCATGCCAGTTGACCAGTATGTTGTCATGAAACTTGGTGTCTTTAGAATTAACTTAAGATATTTTTGTTCGAGTTAGAATTTTAATGAATATTTGCTATTTCTATTTATTTATAATTTCATTCATCTTTCTTCTCAAGTTTCCAGTGATTTGTTACTAGTATTTTTATATATGCATAAGAAAGCAAGTTTATTTCTTTATTATTCATTTTATTCTTGCAAAGGGCTATTGATCAGCATATGAAAAAAAGCGATATTCATGAAATATCTGAAATACTTCCAGTGCCCTGAACATCATTTATTGCTCTGGTAAGCCCATCACAAATTGTTTTGTATTGAGAATTTTTCTAAAAGGAATAGTGCACTTCCTAATGGTTTGCAGGTCTAATGACCCATTCAGGATATTAGGAGAACACAAGAAGTGTTTGTAAATCACTTGCCTTTATCATTTTTTCCCAACATCCCATGTGGGTTACTGCAGCTGTAACCCAAGTGCTGTCTATTGCTTAAATAAATAATAAATACAATCATTGCCATTAAAACACATTACAAGCACTTATGACTTTTGGACTAACATATTTAATCTGGGCTTTCAGATGCAGTAAAAAAGCTTTAGGTCCAGGGATAAAAATTGCAATGTAAAGCGGTTCCAATGAAGAAGTATGACAAAAAAAAACCAATGATCAACTGAGCTTTCCACTTTCTTTTGTCAAGTCTGTGTTCTTGGCAAGAAGTTTCTTTCATGATGACATGCGCAGAATACCAGTAAATCACAGGGGAGGCAGAGGCTATAAATCGTGTAGTGACCTGATAAAAAGAAAAAAATCAAGAAATTACAACATAATTATAAAGCAGCAGCTATGTAGTTAATACATGTAGTTGACTGAACTCCAAAAAGAAGCTCCTAGTTTTAGCCCTGACAGGTTCATGGTTTTATCAGTAAGCGAGAGCAAAAAGAAGGGCCAACACCAAGAGAGATTCACACAGCATTGTGAAAAATGACAGAAGCCATAATTTAGGCTTACCTTGTTTAGTTTCATTCATGCTCAATTAAACTAGAAAAAGAGGGACTGCTAAAAACCCAGTAAATGGGCCACCTCATAAAAGCATGTTATGATAAACTGAAAAAAAGGTTGATGTTACTAAAACTTGTTAAGCCAGAAATTGAGAAAAAAAATCTGAAACACCACAATGCCATCATCATTTAATGAAAGCACAACTTGAAAGAGGAAATAAATTGAAAAACTTCAATGAAAGTTCTCTGGCAAAGGGAGAACCATACATTGTACTTGTGTAGAGCAAGCAAAATAAATACCATGCAATATTTTTTTTAAGTTCCCTAAAGAAATAGTAATGGTAACTAATTAATTTTAGAAATGAGAGAGAGAAAAGCTTTTACCAACCTGTACATGCATGGATGTCAAACCAAACAAAGACATGAAAAAGACATGGACAACATAAACAAAGACATCAGGGTGGTGGTAAAAATCAAAGTCTTGTTTGCCAGTTATTCCAACATTTTGACGAATTGGCTTCCTTTATAAAACAGAAAACAATATCCTCTCAGTAAGAACTTTCTGACAGATTGTAGGACCCTTCATCCAATGGAACACTTTCATATAAAAAAAGATTTTTTTCTTTCTGAGAGCATTCCAGTTAGTTCACCAAAAACATCATCTTTCACTTTCATTTTCACTTCAGTCAAGGCTTTAATACAAGTCATGACCATTACACCAGCAATACATGCAAATTCTCTTGAAATCAGACTTTGTTAAGTAAATACTCCACATAATATTGTATTTTTCATATTGAAGTGAAAATAAAAAAATCATGAATCAGAAATTTGCAGGCTATCAAACTTTTTGTCTACTGATTAAAACAAGGATCTTTAATTGCCACTTGGCACCTGTTTTGATATTTTCAGACCCTGAATAATAAGGCATTACATTATAAAATAGAGGAAGTTTCTAGAGAAACTGTAATGCCGCATAGGCTGAGAAGTGTGACATGATAATTTGGTTTCATCAACTTAGCTGGAAATGTAAATTGGCCAAACTCTGACAGAGGGCTAAAACTTAAAATGTCAGCTTTGGAAAATCTTTATCGCAGCCAGTTTACATTATCAACACAGTTTATATGATCAAATTATCTTGTAATACCTGCCACTGATGCTGCACCACAGTTTCATGAGAAAATTACCCCCTTTACTTAATAAACACATACCTTGTCATTTTTTCAGACTTTTCCTTACTTTGGAGCAAGCCAAGAGTCTTAACTGTTTCAATATTTCTATTGCTCAAACAGTAGATCAGTACAGCATTGAGACTCAAAATAATAACTGGAGCAGCAAGAGCAAAGTTTGGTACTTGCTTGACTTCAAAGTAACGTAAAAATCCAACATTCCAATAATTGTCTTGAATGTATGAATAAGAAAATGGTACCAATTTATCACACCATGGACTATGAGTCAAATCTCTCAGGAAACTCCTTGGTAGCATACAGTATAAATAATATCCATACAACTGGAAAATAATGAATGGAACAAGCACAATTCCATTTAAAACTATAAGTCTAAGGAGTAGTATTGCTCCTCTTTGTACATGCCAAAAAGTGAGAGAACCAGGGTCTGTAATCAGTGAAGGTAATTCTGAAGAAACATAGTTTTTAATCATTCTGTGTGCAAGAAATCCACATGATAAAACACCATTTGAACGAGTAGCGCAGCCAAGACCAAAAAGTAACAGTGGCAGTGCTGTACAATTTTGTTCAAGAAAACACATAGCCGTAAACTGTAGACAACAAAATAAACTCTCCGTGTACAGACTTGACATAAATACACTCGCAGGGTTGAAGCAAAAGAGTAGTGATGACAACATGGCGGTAGTCCTTGAACCAAACAGTTTTAAAGTCAATTTGTAAAGTGAAATAGCTGCTAATGTGAACAGAGTTGAATTCAATATCCATCCAATCGCTAGATATAAACTGCGCTCGTTCAAAAAATACTGAAAAGGTGGATGGAGTAATCGTACCAAGATCCTTAATATCCAAGGGAACAATGGGAAGAAAGCCAAGTATTGTTCGTATTTATAATCGTCTTCGGCTATTTTCATAAAATAAGCAGCATCCCATTTGCTGAAACCTTCAAACATTCTTTGAAATATCAAATCACACCACGAAGTTGGTGGAGTTGAATCTCCGTTTTCGTTGATAATACTCGAAGAGTCGTAATCGTTGATGAATTCATTGACAAAAATCTGAACAAAAAAAAGCGCAAATGTAAAGTAAGATTCACAACCGATCGCTACATTTTTTTTTTTTTTTACTCCTACCTGAGAAAAGAGCAACAGAAATCTCGAAGATATAGCCCAGCGCGCCACAACTGCAATCTCGTCCGCCATATTGAGGTTCACCATGCCAAACACTGTTTTATTGCAGGCTCAAAAAATTGACTCAAAATAACTCCCAGGATAGCGCGCGAAATGTGCATGATGGAGATCTGGAAACTGGAATGAGGATATAGAAAACTGCAGGGGGGGTTATGGGCGAGATTTCGGAACTTTTAAGGCCATTTGAGTGTTTTATGTGTATTTTGTTTTACTTTCATTTTTAGCCTTCGTAGACATGCCCGAGCTTGGACTCTGTAAATACATAGAACACGAACAGCGGGCAGAATCATAGACTACGACAGTAATGGGCTTCTGACTTCGAGGATTCGCTCCTTTTCGGTATGTTGCGCGTGTACAAAAAAAAAAAAAAATCCGACTCTGCTTTCCACTCCCAGAGTTCTACGCGGCGCACTAGCGAAACTTGCGATCTTTTGCAAAGAATTTAGATCACTTTTTCCATAAGCGGTTTCCGAAGGTGGCTGTACGTTCTGTAAGGCGAAACCAAACACGAGAGCGTGCCTACAGGCTAAACTGAGACAGCGGTGAGAGGTCTCACAGGCGGTGGAAGACCGCTTATATACGACTTTTAATGAAGCCCCTGATATGATCCCTCGATTTAACCATATGCATGTTTAAAGTGAAAAAGACAGTGAGAAATTCCATAGAATTTTGCATTTTCATGAGGGAATTTATTTCAAGACAATTGTATTTTTCGCAAATGTTGTCGTTAAAGGCGTAATCTAATCTCGATTTGGTGATGTAGAGAGACCTGTAACTGTTGAGCCAGGGAACTATAATTGCATATGAATGAAGTTTATCATCGATCCCCACAAGAAATTGTCAGTTTAATCTACATTGTCAATAATTGATGACAAATAATTGCTTTTTGTCGCTCTTGGCGATGAGGGATACAATAAAAAAAAAAGAAAAGATGAAAACATCTGTGCAAGGAACAACACATAATTAAAGGGTAGCTCTGAGCCTTGCGAGATAAGATGGTTCTTCAAGACGAAGATAAGAATTTGACATCGGTGCTGAACTCTGCCAACAATGAACTGCTCTATATCTGCGATACGGCCTTTTTGACCGCCTTGAAGCCAGATGCGTTGTCCACCGATGTCCATTCTGTGCTGCTTTTCACAACAGTTATGCTACTGGTGTTTCTGCCCTTTACAATATTACTCAATATTCTTGTGATTGTAGCGGTAAACTCCACGCATGAGCTTCGAACCACGTCAAACATTCTGCTGGCGTGTTTAGCGACGACAGATCTCTTGATAGCTTTGACTATTCAGCCGTGTTTTATTGCGATGGAAGTGTATTTCATTCAAGGAAGAAGTGTTGCTGAGTTTTGCGTGCTGGAGAAAGTATCGGGCATCTTTTTTACCATGTTTTGCAGCATATCTCTGTTTCATATTGTATTAATAAGCTTAGAAAGATTTTTGGCGATCAAACATCCCTTTTTCTACGAGAATTACTCCTCTAATAAGATTTCGATAATCTCTTCTGTGATAGTGTGGATACTAGCCGTTATTCCAGCACTCAAGGATTTAATAGACTCTAAAAATGATTTTGTTTCTGTTGTATTTGTTGATGTTCTTTCAGTATGTAGTATTCTAGTAATTATCGTATGCCATGTTACCATTTATTTCGAGGCTAGACGCCATCAGAAACAAATCGCTTCTCAGCAAATTTCACGGGAAGCAAGGGAAAAATTCGAGAAGGATAGAAAATCCTTAAAGACAACGACAATAATTGTTTTAACTGTTTTCTTTTGTAACTTCGTTTCGATATCAGTTAATTTTTTCCTAGACGCTGTGACTGAATTCAACACTGCCTACATACTTTTCTTTTTAGCTTTGACATTAACTTTACTCAATTCTTTGGTGAATCCTTTGATCTACGCGGCGAGGAACAAGCGAGTTCGACTGGCATTTGTCCACCATCTGTTACGACAACAAATTCAACAAACAGATCAAATGGAAATACGAGTAAATTGTTGCAGAAGTACGACAGTCAGGCCACAAGAAGGCGAAACGTCAGAGTTACCATAACAACGTGATTAATTAAACTCGCCCTTTATTGATCCGTCTGTCTATAATTAGGTGATCAGAACTACGATCTGAGCGGTAGTCATCATTTCAGCCAACAAATTTTTTCACGAATTTCCGCTTAAGGCTTTACTCTTAACCTAAATACGAATACGATTATTCATCCCCAAAATTTAATTGGGTTTTAGAAAATTAATTATACCTTGTAAAACATGGCGCTCTTACTTATATTGCTAGTAAGGTTATCAGTTATTTCTCTGTATTTCATCGAGGTTTAGTTTTTCTTACAAGGCGAATTCAGTATGTATAAAGGGTGCAACTGAAAGATCGTGAAAAAGTGAAGTTCTAGCTAATTCAACATCTTGCAATTGTATATCAAAAGTCAGACAATAAAGGAAAAATGTACGGAGGTGTAGGACTAACTTTCAACTGGCCGCACCGAAACAAACTTGACTTATTTTCTCGCTAAACTTGGCGAGTACATAAATTCATTTTTTGAATGAAAGTTGTTCATCACCTGTTTCAACTGAAGCAACTTCACTGGTTGATGAAAGAAAAACAAGAAATAAAAAAACAAAACAAAAGGAAAAAAAAATCTAAATAGGTTTTTTTGTGTTTTCGTTACGAAGCTACTACAAAGTGATGCTGGAAGGAATTAACTTCAAAATTCTCGCCTTGATTAACGCGGAAAGAAACAGGAATAACAATTTTGACAGCCCCGACAGCTATATTTGATTGGCTGGTTTAATACTTATAATTGTATTTTTTTAGCTTTTACTTCCAACTTAATAACTTTTTCGATTTTTCTTGGTTTGTCAAAATGGGAGAATTAATCTAGCAAAACCGGTTGTTATGTACATTAGGTCTGTAAATATGAACTCGATTAATGCCACGTAGAGCACTTTCATTTCCCTAAAGATGTGAGAAATTTCCTTTAGACGAGCAAGAGGATTAAGTGCACTGAAAAAGGTTAGAAGAAAAGAAAATTATGTATAATCCGTGCATAAGGAACCTACTTCATAACGTAAACTGCCACTTCCAAGCGGCACTTAGAGGCCCTTCCCCCCGTGATAAGCCCACCTACCTGTAAAAAAATAAATGAATCCGATAATAAGCCCCTCGGCCCTCCTCCTCACCCTCGCTGGAAATAAGCCCCCCCTTCGGCTTTTCCTGTTTTGAGAGATATGAACTCTGTACCACTCCTAATAGAAAATTTGAAATTTATCGCAGAAAAATAAGTTTATATAATTAAAACTTTACTGTAAAACACCATTAAAATACTTTTTCAAGGCCTTAGAAACGATAAATTTATCGCAAATCCAATATTTTTCATTACTGCTATAGTTCGTTTTGAAGCGCTTTCTATTCCAATTAGAAGCCACCCCTGATATAATCCCCGGCCCTCCATTTATGAGCCCTCTAAAAACCCATTACGCATAGCTTTATAAGCCCGGGGTATATAGGCGGCAGTTTACGGTATTATACATTTCATTCAGCCATGTATTATCAGTTATTTGTGTAAAAGTAATTGTAAATGCCTTGAGGGGAATCACCCAAAATATTATTTTAATTATAAATTTAGATGTGCAATCTGTCTTAAGGTCCTGAAAGAGACTAGAAATAAAGACTGAGGGCTGATGAATTGAATCAAATGTTAATGGAAAGGAAATGATTCTATAGTCCCCTTTAATAATAGCGGGCATTGCATGCATGCGGTCAATTATTTTGGCCGCACGCCAATTCCCGCGCAAAATTTAAAAGGAAAGCGTAAGACACAACCACTTTCTCGCGAAATAAACTAAAGTATGCAAATCATGAGCATGTAAATTAACCTTCTTGGCTTAACTTCTGAGTGATAATTGTCGAGGCCAGAAAGTCTTATTTGGGTCAAGAAAGAGGTCTATGAATATAATTATCTGTTACATACCTCATGTTCTGAGGTCGGTTTTATGAATCAAACTACATCGCCCTCTGATATCGATGGTAATTCCGAAACGAGTATCTTAGAGTATTTTGGCCAACATGACCAATTTGGTCATTAGGTGAGAACCTTCCCACCGAACTCTAGGCTGTTCTCCTTTTCACAACAGTCGTTTTGCTGATTTCATTGCCTCTTACAGTTTTATTCAATGTCTTCTGAATAGTGGCGGTATAAACCGTTCGCCGTCTTCAAACGTAATCGAACATCTTGCTGGCTTGCGTAGCAGTAACCGATTTGACAGTCGGTGTTATCCTTCAACCCCTTAATGAAATGTTTAAAATCTGTCTCCTGCATGGAATTAATGCACAAAATGTGAACGATGTATCTCTCAATTTTGGTTAATGATTTAGAGATATACTTAATTTCCGACTGACATCGAAAACACACTGTTCTATCTTTTTGTGGCTTAATATTCCTAAATTCATTAATGAATCCTCTTATGTACGCATCAATGAACAAACAGTTTTGAGTATTATTTGTTCAGCTGCTACTTCGTAAAACCACCGAATAACCAAAAGAGAGCGAACTGCACGTTTTCCACTCTAGAAATAATGTAAATGTGGTTCTTTAGCTGTCAGGTTAAGAATTCCCCTCTAGATTTCTCTCAAAAACCGGCTATGCCTGAGCAAGATTTCTATAATACGAATAAAACGGAAGATAAGAAAAATGTCAAATATTCCGCGCTCTGCCTTCATTGTATTTAAATTTTAATTTATTAAAACCCTCAAGTAGAACCGACGAACTGTCGGTTCAGTCTACAGCTCTTTGGTTCCCAGTTACCTTGTTACTGTTTCGATCTCTGACAAATGTTTCAGAGTATCATTAGAAGGAGAGAACTCAGGGTCCCAAGTAATGTGAGACTGCAATCGTTTTCATCTACATCCTTTAGTAACGAGCCTAAAAACATAGCCACAAGGTCATGGCCAATCACAAACACAACTTAAACAACTCGCGAGTTACCTGGCTTCCACTGATTCGGTTTCGTTCGTTGCCGTCTGTGATTGATCTACAAACATAGTGACATCATCTTAATCAATTACTTAAAAAAATTCCTTACTTGATCTGCATCGATTTGGTTCTCTTTCCCCTCTCCATTCCTCAAGTGCAGAACCCGCACATAACCAATCGACCATCGAGAAAAACATCCCCTCCTCTTCAAAATTATGCTACACCTACTTACTAGATACTGCCACAAAAACTGTCTCAGAACTTAATCAGACTTTGGAGCTCGGTAGATTACGTCAAGTGGAGACAGGCAATAACTCTCAAAGCCGATAAAAAATCGTAGTTGCTATGTCAAGTTTGCCTTTGTCTTTATACTTGGTGTAGTTTCATGCCGGAGCGGATGTTATTTCGATTACCTGTGTGTGAATTGTTCCAAGAAAGTAAAGAATTTCTGTCCTGTCACTTTTCACATGCAGATTCCTCATTCCTCGAGTGCGGAACTTAACCAATAAAGCGTGAAAAAAATATCCGCTCTTCTTCAAAATGATAATCCACTCGCCTAGATACTCTTCTTGCTGCAACATTACCATTTAAATGGTGTAAGAACTTACGTGTGGGAGTTAAAGGTAGTTTGAGCTAGTCCCCCTCAAAATAAATAAATAACTGAATGAACGAATATAAATAAAGAAATGAAACTGCAGCAAGAAAGGGGCAGCCGATCATTGTGTGACGCATTTCCGGTAAATTATGGTAAATCACGAAAGTATAGGAAGTTAATATGGAATATCACGCGATAACTTCCTGCCACCATCCAGCTTAAGGCCTTCCTTTCTTCATCTGTTAAAATTCTAGCACTTATTATAACCGCTGCAAAAAGTTTGAATCATATCGCGCGAAATCACACGATCCACGATGAATAAAAAAGTGTTCCAATATCGTTGCTTCTGCATTCCAAGAATTTAATTGTGATGAGAACAAATCATAAACTGGTAGTAATATAACGGTTGACCGATAGCTTGAGTAAACAATAAACCCCTTTTGTTCGATAGGTAGATGTTTCTTTCACGGCTGGTTGGTCAAGTTTGAGTTCCGGTATTCAACAGAAAGAGGAATTTTCTTTAACGAAATATTATAAAAACCTACGCTTGTCCTTCAATCAGCAAAGTTGTTGTCAGTAGATGTACACTGAGGAGACCAAGGGTTGGTAAGATATTTGACAAATTTTATTCTGCGTGTATGTTGTCTATGCTCGACTAAGGCCGGCGACACACCTGAAGATCACGGTGATCAAATCCGCCGCGATCGGCGAAAATTGCATCCGCAAAAAACTTACTCTTCCCTCGTATCAACATCATCTTGATCAACTTCTGATAAAACTGCGGCGATCTCTCTGCAAAATCGTTGTTTTTGGACGTCGAAACAACCTTTCGCCATATATTTCTTACGAGCGAGTTGCAATGTTTGCTCAGCGGCAATTCAAGAAATCTTTACGCAAACATCAGGATCCGATTACTGGCGACTCTTTCACTGAATTCTAAATCATGTGATCATGAAATCTGTACAAAATTCCAAGTGTTATTCTACTGCTCTGTGACTGACCTCTCTTGTGAGCGGGAGCCCAGGGAAAGGCTAATATACTAGTTAGTTAGGGTTTGTAGCTGCCTAAAGAGCTAACCGCTCCAGCACTAAGACGGGCCATTATGGTTCAAGTAAAGATCTTAACAGTTCATTTTGTTTGTTTGTTTGTTTTTTTTTATAGATTATGGACAGATACAAGGGACCCATCAGACTGGGTCAACCATTTCTAGATGAACCTGAGGTATACAAAATTGTGTGTGTGCGTGTGTGCGTGCGTGCGTGCGTGCGTGTGTGTGTGTGCGTGTGTGTGTGTGTGTGTGTGTGTGTGTGGGGGGGGGGGTGGGGTACCATTTCATTCTTCTTAACTTTGTAAAGAGCAAGCTAGCAAAAATGGTTCGTAGGTCGGATTTCCACTGCTATTTTTCTCTCCTAGTGCTTACAGTCATTCGCTTCTTGTCCGCTGATTAATTACTGGTTTAAGGGGCTTGTGGCTTTATACGGAATGAACGTATCATTCGACCTGTAGCAAACCGGCACTGTCTTTTGGTCCATGCAGAGATCTTAACAATTTTTTTTGCTTTTTGGCATGCAGTCTGATTGCCAGGTTGATCGTGAAGATCGCGAGGAATACAAAAACGGACAAGTACCGAAATCGTGCACCTTCGAAAACGACACCCAGTATGAAGTGGAGATAACTGATAAGAATGGGACTCGCGTCTTGAAGCCTGGTAAATTAACAACAAACTGCAACATCTCTAACTCCCACGAGATTCTTATCCTAAAGGTACCGAAGAAAGACGTGAAGATCGACTTCCCCTCGAGCAGATTTAATAACTCCACGTACAAAATCAGTCATATCTTTGCAAATCAAATGAAGAAGAATTAATTCAAGCATCGGTGAACTGTGGTCAGTGCATGTCACCAAGAAACATTACTTTGACTATTTATAATCACGAATTAGTGAAAGAAAAGGCTTTTTTCATTGTTGATTTATTGAAACCTCAATGGGTGTGATATGTGCGAATTAGTTAAAAAAGCAAGAGTGAAGATTAATTAACCTATTTTTCTTATTTCATCCCAATCACTTTCATTAACCTTTTAAATTAATTAAACCCTAAGAGTGATCAGCACCTTATTTCTCCTTACAATAATACTGCTGAATCACTGACTGAGATCATGAGAATAAAGGAAATGCCTGACAACCTAAGAAGCTTTGATCTCCATATGAATTCTCCTTGTCAGTACCAAAAGAAACATGTAGAGAAGAGTATGGAGAATATGGAAACTGATGTTAGAGTGTAAAGGGTTAAACGAGTACCTTAATGAATATAATCGATTTAGTGCCCAGGGCGCTTATTTACTTTTTGGGATCAATATCAGTATCTGAGCAACGGCCCACCTACCCCTCCCCTAACCCACTCTATCATAGAGCAAGATTTCTATAATACGAATAAAACGGAAGATAAGAAAAGTGACAAATATTCCGCGCTCTGTCTCCATAGTATTTAAATATTAATTTATTAAAACCCTCAAGTAGAACCGACGAACTGTCGGTTCAGTCAACAGCTCTTTGGTTCCCAGTCACCTCGCTACTGTTTCGGTCTTTGACAAACGTTTCAGCGTATCATTGGAAAGAGAGAACTCAGAGTCCCAAGTAATGTGAGATTGCAATCGTTTTCATCTACATCTTTTAGTAACGAGCCTATAAACATAGCCACAACGTCATGGCTAACCAGAAACACAACTAAAGCAACTCGCGAGTTACCTGGCTTCCACTGATTTGGTTCGTTCGTTGCCGTCTATTATTGATTCAGAAACATAGTGACATCATCGTAATCAATTACTTAAAAAAATTAAACCATTCTTAGCTGGATCTGCATCGATTTGGTTCTCTCAGTCCTCTCACCATTCCTCGAGCGCAGAACCCGCACATAACCAATCGACCATCGAAAAAAACATCCGCTCCTCTTCAAAATTGTGTTACGCCTATCTAGATACTGCCACAAAAAACTGTCTCAGAACTTAATCAGACTCTAGAGCTCGGTAGATTGCGTCAAGCGGACGCAGGCAATAACTCTTAAAAGCCGATGAAAAATTGAAGCCGCAATTAATGTCAAGTTATACTTGGTGTAGTTTCATGCCGGAGCGGATGTTATTTCGATTACCTGTGTGTGACTTTTTCCAAGAAAGTAAAGAATTTCCGTCCTGTCATTTTTCATGCAGATTCCTCATTCCTCGTGTGCCGAACTTAACCTATAAAGCGTGAAAAAAACATCCGCTCCTCTTCAAAATGATAATTCACTTACCTTGTATTCTTCACCTGAAACATTACCATTTAAATGGTCTAAGAACTTATGCGTAGTAGTTAAAAGTAGTGTGAGTTAGTCCCCCTCAAAATAAATAAATTATTGAATAAACGAATTTTAAATAGAGAAATGAAACAACAGCAAGAAAGGGGCAGCCGATCATTGTGTGACGCATTTCCGGTAAATTATGTTAAATTACAAAAGTACAGGAAGTTAGTATGGAATATCACGCGATAACTTCATACCCCAATCCAGCTTAAGGCCTTTCTTCATCTCTTTACCCCAGTCTTCATTTGTTAACATTCTAGCAGTTATAATAACCGCTGCGAAAAGATTGAATCCTATCGCGCGAAATCACGCGATTCACGATGAATTAGAAAGTATTCTAATATCGTTGCTTCTGCCTCCCTAAGAGTTTAATTGTAATAAGAACGAATCGAAAACCGGTAATAACATAACGGTTGACCGATAGCTTGAGTATATAAAAACCCCTTTTGTTCGATAGGTAGACGTTTCTTTCACGGCTGGTTGGTCAAGTTTGAGTTCCGGTGTTCAACAGAGTTAGGAATTTTCCTTAACGAAAGATTATAAAAACCTGCGCTCGTCCTACAATCAGCAAAGTTGTTGTCAGTAGACGTACACTGAGGAGACCAAAGATTGGTAAGATATTTGACAAATTTTATTTTGCGTGTATGTTGTCTGTGCTCCACACCACCCTCCACTCTTTTTTTATGAGAACATCGTGTTTCAAGAACGATGACGCAGAAATTGTTCTAGATGTAAAGAATATGATAAGGACTTACTCAGACTACCCTGACCGAGACTAAGGCCGGCGACACACCTGGAGATTATATTCGCCGATCACGGTGATCAAATCCGGCGCGATTGGCGAAAATTACAATCGCAGTAAAAACTTAATCTTCCCTCGTATCAGCATTATCTGATCAACTTCTGATAAAACTATGGCAAAAGAGCGTAGTAGAAAAGTTGAAGTCCAAGTAAAGATCTCAACAGTTCATTTTGTTTTTTTTATAGATTATGGACAAAAAGAAGGTGAGGTATTTATTGAGGTAGTTATTGGGAATTTGACTGTATTTTTACTTCGTCAGAGCGGTCGTAAATATTCCTATACAAACTCTTACATTTTTGCCATGACTCTTATTTCGCAAGATGATCATCTCACAGCTGGGAGCTTGGCCTGCCTGTGTTCAATGTAGCTTTTGTCCGCTGATTAATTACTGGTATAAGGGGCTTGTGGCTGTATGCGGAACGTACCATTCCTGTAGCAAACCGGCACTTTTAGTCTACGTAGAGATCTTAACATTTTTTTCGGTTTGCTTCTCAGCAGCTTCGATGCATTATTGCCGATCGCGTGGAATACGGAGGCGGAACAGAACCGAAATGGTGCACCTTCGAAAACGACACCAAGTATTCAGTGATGATTACTGATAAGAATGGGATTCGAGCCTTGGATCCTGGTAAATCAACAACAAACTACGACATTCCTGCTGGCTCCCATATGATTCTTGTCCTGAAGCTACCGAAGGAAGACAAGAAGATCGACTTCCCCTCGAGCAGATTTAATAACTCTATGCAGAAAATCAGTCAGATCTTTGCAAACCAAATGAAGAAGAATTAATTCAAGCAGTAGTGAACTGTGGTCACGGCGTGCCACCAAGAAACATTGCCATGACTATTTATAATCACGAATTAGTGAAAGAAAAGGCTTTTTTCATTGTTGATTTATTGAAACCTCAATGGGTGTGATATGTGCGAATCAGTTAACAAAGCAAGAGTGAAGATTAATAGACCTATTTTTCTTATTTTATCCCAATCACTTTCATTAACCTTTTAAACCTGAAGAGTGACCAGCACCTAATTTCTCCTTACAATAATACTGCTGAAGATTAATGGACCTATTTTTCTTATTTCATCCCAATCACTTTCATTAACCTTTTAAATTAATTAAACCCTAAGAGTGACCAGCACCTAATTTCTCCTTACAATAATACTGCTGAAGATTAATAGACCTATTTTTTTTTATTTCATCCCAATCACTTTCATTAACCTTTTAAATTAATTAAACCCTAAGAGTGATCAGCACCTAATTTCTCCTTACAATAATACTGCTGAAGATTAATGGACCTATTTTTCTTATTTCATCCCAATCACTTTCATTAACCTTTTAAATTAATTAAACCCTAAGAGTGATCAGCACCTAATTTCTCCTTACAATAATACTGCTGAATCACTGACTGAGATCATGAGAATAAAGGAAATGCCTGACAACCTAAGAAAGAAGCTTTGATCTCCATATGAATTCTCCTTGTCAGTACCAAAAGAAACATGTAGAGAAGAGTATGGAGAATATGGAAACTGATGTTGGAGTGTAAAGGGTTAAACGAGTACCTTAATGAATATAATCGATTTAGTGCCCAGGGCGCTTATTTACTTTTTGTACCTCAAGGGAGGGCAGTGATTTGAAACAGGCGCTTTATACTAAGGACAGGGTGCTTACCTATTTTTTGAGAAACAGCAGAATGTGCGAAAAATAGCTTTGATGTTTTTTTTTGAAAAGGACCAAGAAGACTGGAAACAAAATTGTTGTCCTTGAATCCTTCATGGCTAGAACAACCAGCCAAGCAATCGTCAAAAAATTTTAAGACGATATCATTCGTCTGAAGGGATTAACTGTTTATTCACATGGAGATCATAGTTTTGCGACACACAACACTGTTTTATAATGAGGCCTTAGACGAGCAATGAAAAGAAGATGAACCACGGTTGATCCCAATGTTCCAGTACTATAACATTAACATCACTGAAACAGAATAGGGACACTTATTGGAACAGGGGCGCTTATTAACCAAAAAACAAATTCGAGGGGGGTACTTATTAGAGAGGGGCGCTTATTGGTACCAGGGCACTAAACCGAATCAGTAGGATAAACAAGTAAATAAATTATAATTTAAAAAAAAAAAAAAACTGACACTAAATCAGGTGTTAATTTATTTCATTTTATTGTAACGTCACTCAAATGAATATAGGTAGCTTTCCACGGCGATAGATTAAAGTGCTGATCAGTTCGAGGATTTAAATTTGTTTTCACAGACTATAACACCTATTTGGTCAAAACAATCAAATTAACTTAAATCTGAGTTTAAAAACCAAAAATTTTAACGATGAATAAACTAACGTGTTTTATCAATATGACTCGAGCTTTTCGTTACGTTGAACTTTGGCCATGTTTCAGTCCTTATCAAAAGTTCGGGTATAATTAGTGAGCAATTTCAAAACAACACAGCCATCAAGCGTAGGGGAACGTGGGGGCATGCGCGGGGGTTCAATTTTGGCCGCTCGCGCACAAATTTCCGTCCGCGCAAAATTTGAAAGGAAAGCATCCCACACAACCACTTTCTTGCAAGGTAAGTGAAAGACAATTGAAACGTTCATATAGATCTCTAAAAGGAAAAAAAAGTTGGGGAAAGGAAAACTAAGAGAACTAACAAACTCAAAGCTTATTCAGGTATGGGTTGTTGATCTGCCATTCTGTTTTGAGCTTTACTGTACACATGGGAAATCATTTTAATCGTAAATAATCTCGCTTGTAGAGAGCGACCCTCCTACTTACACTAATATCGTATTTACATCTCAATTTTTTTTTCATAATTTTTAAAGGCAAATTTGGAAGTAATATTATCGAAAGACACTTCTCCGACTATTCCCGATGATCCTTTGCCATGTCGCTTTCATTCGGTCAAAAATTACAATATTCTTGAAGATTGATAAAATGAAACAATTCTTAGTGGCTGACGATCTTTACCGTTCAATAAGATCTAATTTAATTTGATAAAACACGTATGGATAATACTCCTGCTGTGCAAGGCTGAGACCTGGGATCTCAAGACTCTGTAAAACAAGACACAAATGTTTTATGAGTAGGGTTATCAACTGAGTTGATCACGTAAATTCGCCAACGTTAGAGTTTCAAAGCTGACGTTTCGAGCGTTAACCCTTCGTCTTCGTCTGCGCTCTGACCAAGGGCTGACGCTCGAAACGTCAGCTTTAAAACTTTGAAACGGCGGCCAATTTACGTTATCAACTCAGTTAATCATACTAAATTACCTTGTTATACTCTCCTGCCAACGCAGCAGCACAGTTTCTTTAGAAACTACCCTCTTCATTCGTTTATGAGTGGGGTTAGCTTGCCAGCTGGCTCTCTTTATTAGCGCATTTCTTCACCCGCGGGAAGATTTGAGACGAGCCGGGGAGAGGTTTGCTGGGGTCTGCACCTAGCAATGCTCTCGCCGGCTCGCTTTCTTCAAGGAATCGGACTTTCTTTCGGGCTAAGAAACGCTCGTGTTGCAGCGCTGACGTGAGCTTGTTCCCAGGTTATGAGTGGGTATAAGACATGGTGTCTAGGTGCTACCGCGCTGACCTCTGAAGCAAAAGGTTCGAGTGGGAGTACTGAAAAGATTGTTGCACTGGACATTGTACTCTTATAGAGCCACCATCTACCCAGGAGTGCAAATGGCATCAGTAAGCTCTCAGGAAAACATAACGGACTACTGTGGGATAACCTGCAATGGACTGGGATCCTATCCGAGAGGAGAATCAATTGCACAACAAGTTGCCTCAACCTGGGTGAGGTTAAGATTGGGTCCAATTGAGAGTGCAACGATAAGGTATGATAAGACAAACACGTGATCGTACATACATTGGCGTCATACATGCTGGAACTGAATCCTTGGTTATCAAGATGTTGATAACATGTGTCCAACATATCCTTTATCTTCTTGTATGTCTTCTTTGATGGCTGTTAGAACAACAACAACAACAACAAAAGAAATAAAAGGCAAACTGGAATCAAGACTATTGAATGAAGGGAAAAGTTTCACGAGCGGGCTCCAAGAAAACACAAATCTGAGTCTGATCGTAGGTAATAAGCGAGTCTTATTGTAGCTTGGTGAATAGGTCAGTGTTGAAAGTGTTATGGGCCACGGTTGGCATTACAGAAGAAGGAAGAAATGTTGGTCTACAAAACATCAAAACATTGCAAATCGCCGTGGAAGACCCCTCTTTCGCTAAAAACAAAAAGCTTGCGCATTTCGGAATAATACGCTTGATTCGAAAAAACTTTACCTGTAGTAACATAGCCTGGAAGTTCACGGGCAAACCATATCTGAAAACCAGTGGAAGAAAATGGATTAAATTAGGGTTACTGTTCAAACTGCAGTTGACAATTTACCAACATCGGTTCTCTAACTTGTGTTACAGGGGCCTCTGGTGCACTCTCTCAACTGGCATCTGAACTGACCAAAGAGTAATTTCTCCTCACAATGGTTAAGGTCTATCAGGCAGACATGCGACAGGTATTGAATGAAATTATAACAAAAGGATGTTGTCTGATTAAACACCAGATTCTCACAACCAATATTGTAAGAAATTTATGGCAGTAAGTGGAGAGTATTAATACTGAAATATTGTAAGTGATAGGCATTCACAGCCAAGCTAGGCGGGAAAATCAGCCAAGAAGTCTCAAATTGAATTATCCTTTGTTAAGTGATTCAGTACTTGGTTCGGCTCTTGAAGAGTTCTGTATCCCGGTTGGGTCTCAGTGACGAATCAAGAATTTCATGGCGATAGGAACAACCTGCAAGGTAGACTGTACTATATATCATTTTTAGCTCACCTTAAAACTGACTCCACAAACACACGAAGGGCCTGCGATAAAGACAAGCATGTATGATTGTATTAGTTTTCGTTTTGCGACAATCAATTGATCTGGGCTCTAACCGTTGCTGTCTAACTTTACGAGTTACTTCACCGTAATGAAAATTCGTAGCAAAGCCCATACCTTAACGTGAATCCACGCAATGAAAGAGTCACTGAAGTTAACTCTGAGCCACCTCACAAGCGGACCCTGGGAATGCGAATAAAATAATCACACACTCAGTACAATATAATAAATGATACATTTACCACTACGCAAAAAAGTACTGTCTGTTCAAGAACAATCGTTGGTCGCCTGATTCACTCACAATCTCTCCCTAACGAATCAGAGTAAAAAAAGGAACTCCTTAAACTCATCACGTGCGAGGACAGACCCAATTGTTTCTACATGCGCTTGTTTTCCCACGCTTGGTGCCGCCCGCCGCACGTCTTCTTTTCGGATTCTGATTGGTTAATGAGTAAGCATTTAGTGGTGTCTTTACGCCACGTAACTTACAAACTGCTTCTTCTTGTCTGATTCCAGTTTTGTGATTTCGTTTTTTCCTGCTTCAAGAGCTTGTTCATCATACACAAATTCTCGAACTAAAAATCTAAAGGAACAAAAATTTATGTCAAAATAAATTAACAAACAAACAAAGAAGTTAAACGTAACTTGAAATGTTAAGTTTGAGACCCCCTTAACTCAACGAAAATGGAATTGTTTCTCAGCAGTAATCACAATATAATTCTTCTACCTCTTCTTTTAATTTTCAATCATTTATTCATCAATGAAAAGCATAATGCTCTCAAAACTTATTATTTTCCTTACTGTCATTATTTTCATTATCAAATCTTACAGTCAGTACTATAGACATTCTCTTTTGAGGAGTTCAACCCATTGTCCTCATCAAGGCTTTAACCCTTCACACCCTAGCATCAGAGTAAATATTTCCCATACTGTTCTCTCTACATTTACTGTGGTACTGAAGAGGAGAATTTTTTTAACAATTAAGAGCTTCTTTAGTTGGTGATCACTTCCTATATTCTCATGACATGATACTGAAAAGAGAAGTAAAATGCCAATCACCATAACTGAATGTTCAATAGAACCTTGCAACAATAAACCTTTACTTTCACTGTATAATTTATTTTTAAGTACGATAATTTTGAAATAGAACAATTTAATCATCAACCAATGAATTGTACTTTTTGTCTCTTGCATGAAGTTTAAATTCATCTACAACTTTCTTGAAGAGAGTGACAGTGTACAGCCCATGATCATTGTCTTCATAAACCTGCCTAAAAACCAACGAAGAAAAAAACAAAACTAAATCAAGGTCAATTAAAAAAACCTGAGTAGTTTTGGTACCATGAGAAGTGTTGAAAGTGTGCCTAGTTTCCCAGCCCCTTGTCCGTATAGTGTTCTCAAACTTTTGCAAACTTGGAGAGAAACTCAAAATGGCTGAACGCTTTTAAACTAAAAAAGATTATTGAATTTTTTTTGCATAATAACATGGATTATCAAACACTGTGTCTATGTTACCTGCATTGGACTTTGGCTTTGGCAGATAACTCAGACCTAGGTATTGATAATTCATGACAGCACGCTCAACCTCAACCAATAATTGCTTATCATTCCCAAACATATGCAAAATTTCTCATCACAAAGTGACTAGGAGTGAACCTTCTTGAATCAAGACATCCTTAATCACAGCTGAATTTGAGATTGTTGAGTTTGATACCATATATGTACATCTTTGCAGAAACAGACAGTAGTTAATCTGAACACCATACTTTATAATTAGTGACAGTTATCAGACTCACTTTGAGGATTCTGGAACAACCATATCTGTAATTTTCCAATAAACTCTCTCCCATTCAGAGGTTAGGGCCCTTGGATAAAAATCAAACCATAATAATTATTTAGCCTACAGTAATTCAAGACTGTGACTGAAAATTTATGTGATGTGCATGTACTTCCTTTCACATACAATATAAAATAATTATTTCTTAAAAACCAAGACAATATAACATACTTGGGAACAACCACTAACTGTGTGGTAAGATATTCTGAGTCCAAAACAAAATCTTCCTTCTTCACCAAGTCACCTAAATTTCTTGTTAACAAGCTTCCCCTATCAAGAGATAAAAATATCTTTTGTTAATTCAGCGAAAACATTTATGATTTGATGTTTTCTAAAGCATGATTTTTTTCTTTTCTCAGGACCGAGTAAGGGAAAACCTGCTTGCAAATGGGCGTAAGTATGAAAGTTGTACTTGTATAGATAGTTACTGTGTGGATATAGATTTAGTTGTTGTGTCCTTTTTGATTTGGTGCTGTGACTGGTTTGTCTGTTACTTTTATACTTCAATTAACAGATGTTGAATGATTTAAATTCATTATCTTGATTGAAAGGTCAAAGTAACAAACAAATCCTCACTTGATATTTTTATCATCCCTGGTCAAAATGGGATTTCCCTCCCAAGGATAATGATTCTTACTGTGCTTTTATCATACTAATAAGGGGATGTGTGTGTGTCCATCTAAAGAAGGGGGTGTGTGTGTGTGTGTTGGGGAAGACAAGGAAATGTTTTGCTGGAAGATACATGTATTTTTATACATACAATAGTCCACAAACTATGGTAACTTCATTATTAGATATTTACATAAAGAGCAAATTCACTCTTATAAGTGCACTATGCCTAAGATCTTTATCACTCCATGCTGGCCCCATTCCAAACAGAAACCATTAAGATCATGTCATGAAGAAAACTATCAGTTATGGGTTGATTTATTCAAAGCTTCCACAATCCCACCCCAAGCATTTGAACTTTTGGAGATTGGTTTGTCCATATTCCTGCACCCTGAGGCCAAAATTGCACTACCCAAGTGCCAGATTTGATTGCCAATTTTTTGTAAAAGACAACATCAGCTACGATAACCATGACTTTCCAATAGACCTTTTCTTCTGAGCCATTTGCTTTCAAAGTGAACTTTTCATCCCTAAACACCTCCATGTTTATTCTGCTGGACCTACTTGACAGTTATGGTTCAAATTTCCCCCAACCCCCAAACTGTACCTGTCCTGATGAACAGAACATGTAATACCTACAATTGTAACAGGAGGATGAGCTTAATTCTTAATTCTTCCACACTTACGTAGCTTTTCTTTCCAGTGAAGCCAAGGTTCCACGGATGGCATTGTAAGCAGATGCTTTGCTCTTCAGGTCATGTTCAATCTGTGTTATTTGCTGCAGTTTGTTAAATAACATTATAAACAATTAATTCAAAAGCAAAATAATTATTTGTCAGCAAAATCAAGATGAGCTCACCAAGAAGCTAACTGTCTTTGTATCTTTCAGTTGACAAGCTTGGGAGCAGGGAAGCTCGCAAAGTGGAGAGAAAGGCTGGTGAAAATACAATTTTTACTTATATTAAAGGTTTTTTCCTTTGTCTTTTACCACTGGTGACTCTAAAACAATTGGTATTTGACCCAAAAACTGTTGAACCCTCTGATCTCAAAGAGACACTAGGATCATATTTCTCCTACTTCTTTACATACAATTTCATCCCTGAATCAAACATAAATTCACAAGAATAAAGGAAATGAGAGAAGGAGAAAACACAAATTCTCCTTGTCATCACCTTAAGAAATGTATAGAGAACAGTATGGAGAATATGCTTACTGATGTTAGGGTGTTAAAGGTTGACAAACCTTGCTTATAATCTCTGTTAAGTTCCTCAGTGATTGTTTGGTGGGGTATTTTGCAGTATCCCACTGGAACTTTGTTACAAAGTTAGACAGGTCCTCTGCCAAAATGAAAACAACTTATTGAGTCAGTCTAAAATATAGCAGTGCAGTCTACAATGTGATAATGAAAAATCAATATTAACAATAATCTTGATTTCATTGTTAAGGTGCTTTCACACAAGATTGTGAACAAGTAAAATGCAATTAAACTATACTTGAAAAAACTTGTTGATGATAAAGAAGAAATGGAAAGAGACAAGCTTGAACCAGACCATGTCAAGGTTCTGAGGTTGTATAATTCATACACTCTATTTGATGGTTTGATGTACAGTTGAGTATCCTACGCACAGATATTTTGCCTGTATCTCATGCAACCACACCATCACAAAATTATATGAAATACATGTGTGTCATATTTTGACCAGGGATGATAAAAATATCAAGTGAGGATTTGTTTGTTACTTTGACCTTTCAATCAAGATAATGAATTTAAATCATTCAACATCTGTTAATTGAAGTATAAAAGAAACAGACAAACCAGTCACAGAACCAAATAAAAAAGGACACAACAACTAAATCTATATCCACACAGCAACTATCTATACAAGTACAACTTTCATACTTACGCCCATTTGCAAGCAGGTTTTCCCTTACTCGGTCCTGAGAAAAGAAAAAAATCATGCTTTAGAAAACATCAAATCATTTCCATTCGATGTTATTTTTTTTTATCGTAACAATACAAGAGAGGTAATTAACCCTTTAACTCCCAAGATCTGATTGTCAATTCTCCCCTCTAGCTATTACACATTTCCTTGTGGCTTGATTATGAGAATTAGGTGTTCAATCAAAGTAATAAATTCTATCTGATGGGTTTGAGCATTCTCATGACCTGTTTGCTGTGCAATGTATCAATACTATAGGGAGAATTTACATGTTAATCACTTCTGGGAGTTCAAGGATTAATAGCAAGATACCATTCCATAATAATGTTGAGTTCATTCATTAAATTGACCAGAACATTTTGTTAATAATATTTTTGAACTTCTTGTCCTTTGAAGTTATAGTAATTTTAGTCTCAAAGACCCTGGAATTTTTCAATGGAAAGTGGTATCACCTGACTAGCACCATGTGATTTTAATAACAGTAGCTAGTTAAGCATTTAAATAATTTTTCATAAAAAACAAAGCAAAGAAGAAAAAAAAAATATTACTGGCAGCCAAAATTGTAAGGGTTTACTCTATCTATATGGGAAGAACAATGGTGTACTAACTAATTACATGTACTAACTTTCAGAAGTCATAATATGGCTATTTGTCATCATGAATAAAGCTTGTTGTTTGGAAAGTGGTGAAGATAAAAGTTAAAGTATACATCTTATATGTACCTGATGTTCTTCAAGTACATCACCCATATAGTGAGCTAACTTGCGTGTCACACTGCAAATAACAAAATAATTCAGTGACACTGGACACTGGACACTGGACAGCATGATATCAAATCACATTTTCTGAATAGATTTGTATCTCATGTTTTGTCACTCTCTTCTACAGAATCAAACACTTTGCCTCTTTCTCCCTAGTTTCCTGAAATGTTATTCTTTTTGGCTACCAAATTGTTTCTTGTGGCCATTGCATGATTTCAGTTGTCAAATAGCGACTTTGAAATAGTTGAGCTGACGTAGAGTGCTGATGTGTCTGTAGAGCAATCATAAAATCAAACTCATACCTTTCAACAAAACCATCCAGTTTTCCTAAATCATCTGATAACCCCACAAGTGTATCCAAAGTTCCAACCTGGCAAAAAAGGGATAGGAATTGATGTCCCTCCCCAAACAAAAAAATTCACCATAACAAAATAGTTATAATAACTTTGATAATGTCTTGATGCGAGCTGGGTACAACACTGGTATGTTATGGATCTAACTCCACTTAAAACTGGGAAATAGCTGTTTAACTTTTAAATTAAATTTCCTTGATAATGTTTTTCAGCAAATTGATAAAATTAGGCTAATGTTGCCAGCTAAAGAAAGGCAGACTAACCAGTAATTCTGGCCAGCTTACAGTTTTCACTGGTAGCTCTGACTGATACATTAAGCAAATTATGCTCAATGAGTACTAAAAATTATAATGATATCAATAAGCAAGGTATGATTACAGATTATAAATTATAGACTTAAGGTTACTGTAAAAAATCCTACATGTATGTGAGCTAATTAAAAGAATTCATGGAAAACTATACATCAATGTAAAGCTTATAAAGTATACATTGGGAAAATAACAAAAGTTTTCACAGTTTTTGTCTTGGAAAGTATGCACAAGCCTTTAAGGACAAAACTGACTGTGTTTGCTTCACTGAATTGCCAGCCTCTGCGTTACCACAGACATCCAAACAAACTAGACTCTAGCACTCAGGCCTTTTCTCTGTTCCTACTGATTCCTGAGAAAATCTATTTTTCTTGCAACAAATTAAACTTTGATGTTCACTCTAATTAAAGAGCAAGAAAATGACATTTTGAAAATTTTGACCAGATTTTGTTAAAATTCCACAGGTAAAATGCAAACCACTTTGCTATGCACATGGTACAGTGGAGTAGAAGCAAACAGTTAAGGATAAAGAAAACCATGACAAAACTATTGATTACCTTAAGGACTACTGTTATAACTTGTTTCTCCATAGAAACCAACCAATTTAGTGACAGAGTAGAGGGTGAGAACCTGGACAACTCCACAGGTGTTACCATTACAAGAGTTTCCAAATTTAAGTGTGATGTAATAATTATGAAAATATTGGTTTTTTTTGTGTTGAGGCATTATAATTAAAACTCTGAACCAATTGAAGCAAGATTTCTGTTTCACTCCTAAATTACTTTATGCATATTATTCTGTCACCCTTTTTTTCAGTTTGCGACTGCTGTTGTCTATAGGATCGAACCAAGAAAGTCCTACAGTTCAGTAAGTTGTCATCCAGTAATAGAAGATAAAACAAGTACGAGTTATTGAGTTTCAAGATGAATACATGACTACACAAAACCAAGTTTATTATAAAACAGACATTGCTATAAGACAGAGAAGACGCCTGATCAATTAAAATTTATTTGAAGGGAGGAACTTACATAGCAAAACTTAACATGTAGAAAAAGAATCGCGATCGCTAAGAAAAGAATCCTAATAATAAATATGCGACTAAAGACTAGAAAGCCTTCATTACCAGTCAGAAAAACTGAAGATTTACAATATATAAGCATACTCGCTGCAATTGTGGCTTCTTTTCGACGAATTTTTCAATGCAATCAGCGAGATCAGATCATCACGATCATACCTTGAGCTCTGGAAGCTGAAGAGAAAACACTGGCGTAAGTCCAGTCATTCTGCTTTTCAGGTTTGTGTAAGTCTGCTGTGGGGTTTTATCACCCGGAGCAGAAATCAACCAATACTCTGCCATCCTGTAGACCAATCTTGTCCAAATCTAGGCAAGAAAATCAAGCATACACGTATTTCAGAGAGCAATTCCCTTGCTTCCCTCTAGCACAAGTTGTAGCAGAATTGAGAAGGTTCGCGCATGACTGTCATTTTCTTGAACGCTGGCTCGTATTTTATTTGATTTATGACGACTTTCTGAAATTCGATCGATTAATGATTTCAATTTGCCTTTATATGGTAAGAGTAAAATATTACATAGTGAAGAGACTTCCGCTGAATGAGGAAAGTAAAAGGATTCCATCCCCCCTCAATGGCTGCCAAGGGTCTTTCCCACTTTTTCCAGAAGGATAAGGTAATTTTTTGTTATTTGCACCATCTCATGTCATTTCAAATTGAGTTGAAAGTTCGTTAAGTTTCCGCCTCCTTGATATTACAAGTGTTTGTTTTGCTTCTGTGGGACGATTTTGCAGTAATAGTGAGAGATCGTGTAGATCGGACTCATTTCGTTCTCGTGCTTACATCTTGTTTAATCAATCATTTTTATCTTTTAGACGTTCCGTCCCAAAAGAAAACTTGAAGAAGGAACATTACGTTATGAACTTCACAAACAATCCAAGGTTCGTTGATATTGAAACTGAACATACCATGTAGTTTGACTCTGCCGTCATGTTTATTTTAGTGAACCTTCGAAAATGCTGAAGCTGTTGCGTTAAGTATAACTAAACATGTTTGTCTTTGAAAGGCTTCATTGCACTCTGGAATCAATTTGAAAGAATGCGTGAAACTCCCAGATGATGAAGATTTGAACGACTGGGTTGCTGTTCACAGTAAGTTTATAATTATCGCGTTACGGCTTTTTATCAAACTTTCACATCTTGTTTAAACAATCCTCCTGAGATAATGCTCTTCATTTAAGATAATGCTTGATAAACTTCATCTTCAGATACCAAACTTAATCTGATTGCGGATGTACGTGTGCTGTGGTTGAAGTTAATTCAGTGGAACCGACTCTTTCTAATCAGCACATTAGGATACAGTTGCTGTGATTATTTTTTCACTTTTTAAAAAAAAATGTTTTCCTCCTCTTTTCTTAACTTTCCTTATTTTTTCTATGATTACTGTACTTCTTGACGAATGTAACATGGTAGTAGGTTCTTTCTTCAATGCTTTGATTGAACACAGCACAAGTGCAAAACTGTTAAGAGGCCGAATCAAGGTTATGATGGTTGAGGAGAGCTGGTCGTACTTTCAAAACATCTTTGAAAAACATCTGCCATGCAATATCATCAAAAATCACAAATCACCTCACAATCTGAATCTACTCAAAATTGGGCATGTTAGTTGGTGATGGTTTTTCAGTTTGATCCAAGCTCAGATACAGTGCAGTGTAGTTTCTTTGTCAGCAACTGTCATGGGAAAAAATAGACAGCCAAAATTGTGGTAATAATTGTATCATTTTGAAGTAGAAAATGAGGAATAAAGATAATAGATATGGGGAAAAACTGAAAACATGGCTTCTGTAAGCAAGAGATGGTATCCAAATGTTTTATTGAAGAAGACCATTTTTTTTCACTGAGTAATGGTGGCAAAGTCAGGAAAAATTTAGGAGAGCAAGATATTCAAATAGCAAGCTTCATAAATAAATTTGGGAGAAGGCTAAGCACCATTTAGCTGCATTTGTTTAGTGCATTTCATTATTTCAGCAAACTATATCATCATAATCTGCAACTGTGTTGCGTCTATTGCAAAACATGATATTTAAAAAAAATATGATATTTCAAAAAAAGAAAATTATGCCATAATTACGTGGTAATGATAGTTTGCCGCTCCAAATTAAAATTCACGATATTCTAATGATATTAGAATATGGTGAATTTTAATTCGGAGTGAAAAACTATCATTACCATGTAATTATGGCATAATCTTCTTTTCTTTTTTTACACAGTTGTGGATTTCTTTAATCGCATTAACTTGATTTATGGAGCAATTTCTGAAGTCTGCACTGATGAGAGTTGTCCAACTATGTCTGGAGGAAAAAGGTGCATAGTGTACTGTATATAAAAAAATACTGTGGTCTGTTTAGGTCTTCCTTAGCAATTACCCTATGACTTTCAAGACCTGATTCATATTTTCTTGTAAATCAGGCACAAAAAATTGATGTTAGATCAAAATAACAACTTTTACATGATAAATGTAAGTGTTTTCATCACCTTTTTTGCTGGACACTGTGTGGATATTATAGGGAGAAGTTACATGTTAATCTCATCTGGAAGTTGAAGGGTGAATATTTTCTTTTCCTCCAGGTATGAGTACCATTGGTGTGATGGAGACAAATATAAAAAACCAACTTCAGTTCCAGCACAGGAGGTACATGTATTTGTGTTACCAATTGCATTGTATTTACTTAAACTTGAGGTGCTTGGACAATGAAAACCAATCAGAGAGTAGAACTAAAATAATATATTCCAACAGTACAAATTGACCATCAGTGGAAAGTTTTGGTCTGAAACATTGAAATCTCCCTGCACATAATGACCAGTGATAGTGCCACAATTACAGTGTTGGTGAGCTACCATGTGTAACCCCAGATATCCTAAAATTGAGAACTTGCACACTGATATAAGGTTGTGAATGGTTAAAATTTTTTCGGAAATCCTAGTCACTTTTTCAAACCCAGCATTGATGAGAAGTTTCTATACATGTTGATTAATTGTGTTATACATTTTTGTTTGTTTTTTGTTCAGTATATCTCCTTGCTGATGGATTGGGTGGAGAGCCAAATTAACAATGAGGATATATTCCCAATTGATAAAGGTACAGCAATAGACCATTTGCTTGTTGCAATGTTTGTCCTGCAGAAATAATAATAAAGATGTGATCATAGGCAGTGGATAAACAATCCTCCAATCTTGGCTACCAAATAAGCATTCGCTCATCCACTCTGACAAAGGGAAAATGCTTGAAACATTAGCTTCGAAACTCCTTACAATGGCTAATTTACATCATCAACTCAGTTGTTAATACCAAATTGCCAAATTAACACACTGCAATTATAGTATTTTTCATTTTGACTGGCTTTACATCTTTATTTCATCTCTGACACCTTTTGACAACAGTGTGTAATTAACAATTGGTTCATTCGTCGGCATGCATTCATCGAGATATGAAGCACACGGGAAGTTTAGAGAACAAGAAAGATGCGTAAGAGTTGCTCGAGGCATAGCTGAGAGCAACTCTAGCTTCTTAAGTGCTCTCCAAACTTCCCAAGTGCTTCATATCTTGATGAACACACAGCTGACGTATTAACTAATTGTTTTATAACATTTTCAACCTGATGGAAAATGTTTTTTCTTGAGGGATTTGTTTGCTGATGTCATGAGCGTGCACAATAGGAATATGAAGCACACTTGTGCAATTGAATTTGATCAGACAAATTTACTAGCTATGTTATAATGTCACTTTGTAAATAGATTTCTGCAAGCAATTTACATGTTTCCTAATGTTGGAAAAATGTCCTCCCTCCTTCAAACCCTTTAGATTAAGAACATTGATAATTGGTTATAACTGAAACTTAACTACTGTAGCTTGATGTTATAAATATATCTACGCCTGAATTTGCCCAAAAGAAATAAGCAGGAGGGTAACACTTAGTTCTCCTCAGGTCCCTGGAGGTTTTATACAAGATTCCAGACATTTTTGTCAATTTGATATCCTGTACAGCTTTAAAAAAAATATTCAACTTGTTGCACAGGGGAATGAACAATGCAATTTGCAGACAATGGACAAAAATACATCTAATTTCCAATGCTGTGGTAATTTCAGATGTTCCATTTCCAAAAACATTTCTTCCAACTGCCAAGAAGATCCTTACAAGACTCTTTAGGGTGTTTGTTCATGTTTACATCCATCACTTTGACAAAGTACAATCCTTAGGAGCTGTAAGTACATCCAGTTATCACATTGCACAATAAATATTTAAAGGCCAACTGCATTGAGGGTATCAGTACCTACCATGAAACATGTAACCCAAATATTGGTTTCGCATGCTTCTCCTGTTTTCCTGTCTTTATCCTCCCTCTTGTTTTTTGTTTTTGTTTCCTCCATTTCATAACCTCATCTGTTTTATTTTTGCCTCTGATATACTTTCATGTTTTGTTCATTTCTCATATTTCATTCCCCTCCTCTTCTGATTTCTCCTCTTAACTTTAAATGTGCATCAGACTGTACTTCATAGTCATCCTGCACTCAGTTGTAATTCATTAATAATAATAACAGGGATGTAGATAATAGCTGGAAGCTGGGAAAATTACCTGGCTGTGAATGCGATTTTTCCGGCTGTGAAGCACTACTTTCTCCAAAATGTTTTTAAATGTTGTCAGAAGATTGTTATCTATTTATTTCATTTGTTTACACCTTTAAATCTAAGTACAGCATGCCAAAGGCACGCAAGAGTGGGCCCTCATCCCAAATACCCACCTATCATTGCAAGATTCCCACCTGTTAAAAACTTAAGCTACATCCCTGAATAATAATAATATAACATATGATGTTGTTAATAACTGCAACAACATCTATTATAATTAACCAATGAATCAAACACTCTAAATAGTTATTAGTGGTTAAAATCCCCAGGATAAGGGAGTTTACCAGTTGCCAATTTAAAAAGCACTGCCTAGTACATGTAATAAGGTAGATTGCTGGAACCCAGAATCTCCAGATTGCATGTACAGTACCCTAGTTGCTCCATTAACTACCTTCATCAGAATGCTGAAAAAGGCTTGACTATCAAAGTTTTCTTTCAGGAAGCTCACGTAAACCAGTGTTACAAGCATTTCTATTATTTTGTTACTGAGCTTAACCTTGTGGACAGAAAAGAATTGGAGCCTTTGGTAAGTGGACTGTGACTGTTTGTGACACAGCCAACTAGCACCTTAGGGGAGTGGGGATGACTCTCATTGAACTTGTTGAGTGATTTGCATCTAATTTCTCCTTATTATATCAAACATTAATTAAAGCCACAAGAATACAGGAAATGAAGCTCTTGATTGTTACACAAATTCTCCATGTTGGCACCCCAGGAAATGTTGAGCGAACTGTAGGGAGAATATGCATACTGATGTTGGGGGTGTTAAGGGTGAATTCCATCAGTTTGAGTGTAGCTCTGGATGGACTGCAATTGTTGAACAGTGTTTCATGAGTAAGATGCTTGACTCTTGCATTACCTTCAATTCTCTTCACTTATTTTTTGTTCATTTATTTTTTGTTTGCAGAAAGCAATGACTCAGAAGCTGTGTTCCTGACATGAAGGAATATATTTGAGACTATTATTAGTTGTTTGTAAATAGAATACACGTTTCTAAGGTCGCAATGATAATTCCCCACTGTGAAGTATTCGACCTTTTCCAGGCTTCAGTTGGTTAAACGGAGCGAAGTCGTTAAAGACGCGACATAAACGGAAGAGCGAAATGGAGGGAGGCCTAGGTCGGTTCGCGACCCGATCCAAACTTCCCTCGTTCCTTTACTCCCCCGCTACTATCGTGCCGGTTACCATCAGGCTTTGTGTTACTAACTAAACGGCTGGAACAGGCTATGAAGTATTTAATGAAGTCAAAATTACGCTTTCATATGAAAATGAGCTTTTAATATGCATGCATATTTTCATAGATTGAAAATTATATCATCTTCTATCAATGAATACATTCTTACAAATTTGATAGTCAGTTGTTTATAAGAAAATCTGGATTACGAAGAAACAGTATTAAGCATTAATAAAGATTACCTTGTTACTAATTTTCAGGTGGCAAGAATTAGGTATATCAGCATATGTTGATTCTTTATGAAAGCTGGAGAAAAGTTTCTAACTATTTTCAGATTTTGTACTTTCATTAAGTGTCGAACTTTCTCAAGGGTGATTCGTTAAATAAAACCTTACTCCACCTCCATTGATTGCTTTAGATAACCGGATATTGTATAATAGTTTTTAAAAGGCTCACTCCGAGATCGGGCACTACTAGTGCATTCGAAGAACCCTTTCTGCGTCAGACTACGAGCCGAGACTGCGAGCTGTTAGACCTCTACTCTTCCTTTTACGGCGAAGTCCTTCGCACGAGTCAAAACAAAATCGTTAAAAAAAATAATAAAATAGAAAATGATGATACTGCGCCTTGCGAAACTCCCGAGGTGCTTCACTTCCAGAATTCCGCGCAGCGCGCTAACTTAAAAAGGATGGTCCTGAGTTAAGTGACCGGCATTTACGATCCAATTGGATTTTCAGCGGCGGTTATAATCAGAGTAAAGAGGGACTGCAAAAAGCGAGGCAGTTGGGGCTAAAATGGGATTACTCAGTACCACTTCCAGTTCTGGAAACCAGGATTTAACTTTTTCAGGATATTTAAAAGCTAGAGAGGGTATCCTTCGAAAGATGTTTCACGGTAGTCAGTGCTGTCGAACCCCCAGTGTTATACGTTCAAAACTCAGAATATTTACAAATGGATACAGAAATAAAACAAATCGTGCTTTATGTGCAAAAATGTATACTAACTCCAAAAGAACTTGCATAGCTAAAGCAAACTTAGAGTTCACTGGTAAAATTATCAATATGAAAAGCAACTATTTATAATAATAATGATATAATAATAATAATGGAACAAAATTTTAATTAACGATAAAAACATTAAATAGTAGTAATAAATAAAATGCAATATTTAATATCTTTTCTCTAAATAAAAATCTAGCGTCCTAAAAGTCCTGCTAAAAATAATAATAATAATAATAATAATAATGAAATAAAAAGATATATAAAAAGATATATAAAAAGATATATATGAAGTAAGGAAACACATCAATAGTCCGATTTAATGGCTCCTTCAACAACTTCGACGTCGATATCAACATTCTTAATGTCACATGGCACTCTTCTTGTCCTAGAGCCTCGAAGACAAACCAACGCAGATCTCAAGAGTGCGAATGAGGTTCTGGTTCTGATCCATGAGATGGTTTTGGCATACTGCTCCCCTTTTTTGATGGCAATCAGCTGTGCTAAACGGCTATGATACTTCAAGCACTCCTTTCCCATTCCGCCAGTCGTGGTGAAGACCAAAGGTGTGAATGTTCCATGCTCAATGTCCAGGACTCTCTCTGAGTAGAGACGCTTTTTCTCGTTCTCATGGAGACGATAAATTTGTTGTGGCTCTAGGTCCCTATACGATACAGCATTAGGGTGACAGACCCTTACATCGAAGAATGCTGATCGATGTCGCTCCCAGATTTATACGTTCTCATTGACGCGTAGCAAGAAGCATGTGGAGCTGCGCCTTCATGCGACTAAAAAAGGGCGTCTGCTCTTGAACAGTTTAGTTCGTCGCAGCAAAGACTAGAGTAGCTCTCCTAAAGCAGCTTACTATACCGTGCTTAGAACTACAAGCAGTTGTTCTTGAAAGCTACTCAGCCAAATCCATGCAGGATAAATCCAAGCTATAGTTTACTCACATGTTTTTGCACTCATAGCCTCATTGCCTCGGCCAGGATCCACAACCCGTTCCGCAACTTTAAAACACTCGTGTCCTTATCAGAGTAAACAGATCCAAACCAGTGGAAACACTTCCCCAGCGACGACCTGCAAAGAAGAATTCACCTGAATTCACAATGATCTAGACCACGGAGGCTACCCGTGTCCCAGTGACATGCTTTTGGAAACCCCAAGGTTTATTTCAAGATACAAAGAATCCTCGAAGAAGGGTGGAATTTGTACAGAAAAGAGTCATTTAAATTTCAGACTAGAATTACAGACGATCTAAATAATCAGAAATCAGCATACATTCGTAAGTCTTTCCTCTGGATCTTCCTCTAACTGCTAGAAATGTGGCGAGTGAGAGGTACAACACATCGGCAGGGGGGAGACTGGGCAGAATTGGCATTGCGAGAAACCTGGGTACGAGACATTTGTAAACTGACAAGAAATTAGAGGTTTTTGTAAGTGCCAAAACATGACACTGGAGAGCCGAAGGTATGCATTTAAAATGAAACTTTGGTATCTTTGGCTAATTTTAACCGTATTCTGGCCTCATAGAATTCTTAGGTATGGCTCTGCACAAGCTTCTACTCATACAGTGACGGAGAAGTCTTCTCTTTAGCAGATTTACAAGGTACGACGGACGTGAAAAATGGATTACTCGAACTAATTGGGTTTCGTTAGATTGGGCTCCTCATCGCGTATTCATTTCAAAAAGGGTGAAATACGCTATCTGGTCTTTGCTGACATGGACAGTTTACTCTTTTTACAAGTTGAACTTAGAAATTCCTAACAATTTCGTCTGTTACATGTGTTCTCGCACCGACAAGGGCATAGGTTCACCTGGCCAATAGAAGATTAAAATCAATGGATGATCTATTTGGTAAAAGTTATGAGCGGCAATTTTTTTACAGTAGTGTCTAATACCCAGTAGTTTGAGGTGAACTCTCGCTTTCGACTTAAGTGAAATTGAATGATCTACGTGTTTGCCATAGCCAAGAAATAATTAAAATTCATTCCTACCTCAAGAGTTCTTCGATACCGAAATTTTTGGGTTTACGTAGTTGAACAGGAGATCGGTATTCGTTTGACTAAGCGTTTGAGATGTATAATTGACAGAAGAGGAATTATGCTAGGAGTGCTTTTTTAGGTTTAGCGAAATCAAAACAATTTTTTGGTACTGTGAATGTTATACAGTTTTATTCAAATTGATGCATTATACATGTATTAGCTAGCCATTGAGTAGGTGTTTTAATAACAATATCGTCATGCGATATTGATCTAGTGGTTTGTTAAGACATACTTATGTCATATACATGATTTACACATACTTTGGTTTTATTGAAGTGAGATTTGCAATTTTCAAATTCCAAGTTGTTGTTGGATGTATCACACACTTAACAGGTGTTCAAATTAAACAAATGATAATTAATTTGTAAATTACGTGATGATGCTACAACAAATAGTGTTGTGATTAGAGCCAAATAGATGAAAGCTGAAATATTTTCTAGGTCTGTTTGAGCTCACAACTTCATCATTCAGGGCACTAGGGATTCTGGAATGGAGCAACAACAGAAAAAATGGAAATTATACTGAAGAGGCAAATTATGAGGCATACAACAAACTGGCTATGCAGCAAATTAAGCTATTTTTCCCTTAAACATGGAGGATCATGTTTGACTTGGTTTCAGAAGGAAAAGTCTATTAAATACTGTTTAACAGAAAATTTGAGTTTAAAGAGAAAATGTAAAATCAACAGTACAAGTGAATCATTCAAGTTAAATTTTGTCCTAAAATGAATTCCATATCTACACATGCATGGGCATGCATAGATATGGAATTTCTATTCTTCAATTCAACAGCTCACATGTGAGAACAGTGAGCAAGTAAGATGTCGGGTTGAACACCATTTGAGAATAATATTTAGCCTTGGAAGATGTTAAGTTATAGAATTCTTTTTTTCATCATTCATATTATTTAATTTTGGGAATTAAATGATTTTTTCATTATTAATCTTCTGTATTGTCACACTAATAAAAGCTATTCTCCTTTTTGTTTGTAACAATACATGTTTATCTTAGGGTTATATTTTCCATAAGTTGACATGATTGATCATAAAATCCTATTTATGTCTGTGCTTTCTTCACAGAACGTGGTTATGTGTCCCTATCCATGGAAGGCACTTTTGCAAGGGCTTTATACTCTTTCCAGGCAGAAAGCCCTGGTGAACTCTCTGTTCCTCAGGGAGGTATCATAAGAATTACACAATACATTAATAAGCACTGGTTGGAAGCCAGTTATGACGGAGAAATTGGCTGGTTTCCTGTTACTTATGCAGAAAGATTAGAAAATGAGTCACACCAAGAGAGAGCTGTACCATCAAGTGCTGGAGCACAACACCAACATGCATCATCAAGGGAGCATAATGGCAATAAATTCAATGATATTTTAGCAAAGCTAGGAAATCCTGATGGTTCTATAGTGGAGACTGCTTTTGCATTTTGTGCTCGTAATGACAGTGAGCTTACCTTTCCAAGTGGTGCTCTGATAGAGGTCACAAAAGATGTTGATGAAGACTGGATGGAAGGCTCGTTTAATGGAAGGATTGGGCTCTTCCCCAAGAGTTACATTAAATCCTCTGAGAGGCCATGTGCCCATGCTGTGTACCCATTTGTTGGGGAAAGTGAAGGGGAATTGACATTTCGTGAAGGTGACCGTATCTTTCTTCATAAACGTTTGAATTCACAGTGGATGGAAGGAGAAATCAATGGAAATGTGGGACTTTTTCCTTCAAGCTTTGTGGCTGTTGAGGTTGACTTACCACCAGAGGAAAATAGGTTTGAAAATGAATTCTTTTCTTTTGTGGACTCATCTTCTAAACCCAGAGACCACAGCAATGCAATCATTTCTAATGTTAAATGGAAGCCAGGAATGAAAGGAAAGGCAATGTTTCATTTTACTGCATTGTATTCAGGAGATCTTGAGTTGAATAAGGGAGATGTTGTGACCGTTCTTAACACTGACGATGATAACTGGATAGAGGGCCAGCTGGATAGTGGAATTTGTGGTTCATGCCCTGCTGCATATCTAGAACCTGTTTATGACATAAACACGGAGTTTTCAGATAGGAAGCCTCCAAGGAGGACACAAAGACTCACATCTGATGACAGTTTTTCCACTATATTTGACAACAAAGTGTCTGATTCAGGTTATTTGAGTGCATTGCACAAGGGTCAGAAAGGTAATAGTGTTGTTGAATCCTCCCCAAGGAAGGAAAGGAATTCTTACAATTCTCTTTTGGACTCATCTTTCACTTTGGATCCAACTCCTGCACTTCTACCTTCTAACTTACCTACTTCGAGATATACTTCTGAAACTGTACAATTAAATAAACCTGTTTTAAAACCAAGGCCAGCAATCGGAACTAAGCCAAACCACAGTTATTCAGTGAAATACTTAGGAGGTGAGACCCGACAAGAACCCACTACAACCAGAAGTCACCAAACAGTGGTTAGTTCTGTCATTGCTTTGCCATCACATGGAAGAGTTTCAATGTCAAATGCAAAAGAGAGGACTGAATATTTTTCCTCAGAGACTGCAAATTTGCAAAATCGTTCTCAGTTTCATCTTTCAAGTTATCAGAATTCTTCTGGAACTTGGCCTGGTAAACGAATTGGTAAGAGTGGACATATGTCAATTGAAAATACAAGTGGGAGTTTTGATGATGAATTTGATTTGCTGTCAGGAAACTGCACTTCTCTTCCTTCACCACTTTTACCCTTACCTCAAAGAGGATTGGAGGATGAAAACAGTGAATCAAGTGCGTCAGAGGATTCTCCAATCACACCCAGACGACCAGCACCCCCTCCACCTATAAGAAACAGCAGTCATGGAATTCACATGCGTAGCAGCACACTACCTGCTAACAGTTTGAAGGGACTTGCACAAGGTCACTTAAATGGGGAGGGTTCAATGTTAAAAGGAAAGGATCAACAGCAATTGGATTTAAAATACATCAAACAGAATGGAAAGCCACATAATATTTCTTTATTGGAAAGTGCAAGTCACAGTGGTTTGAACCTTAGAGAATCTTCCCAGTCAAGGTTGGAAGATAAACCTAAACCCCTGGCTAGGCCACATTCTGTGTATTGGAAAGACATGGTGGACAGTGGTTATGTAAAAGAGAAGGTAATTAAAGTGTATCATTATACTTGTTATACATACATGTTTTAAATTTGTTCAGTTACTAAGCTAGATATTTCAGCTTGAGTTTGGTAGAACTGTAAGAGATAGCAGACTCTCAACAGTGTTGTTCATCTATGTGGGCTGATTATTTCATATACTGTACAAAGTCACAAGTCTCCTCCTTTGACAAGTATGAAACACCCACATCTGCATTCGCTATTGGGTAATTCTTGCACAGGAATTAAGCAGCCCACTCTGCCAGAACTAATGCAAGATTACTCTGCATTACCTAGTGGTATTGTTTTTCCCTCTGTGGTATGCTACTGTCTGGTAGCTACTCCCACAACATTTTCTCAGGATTTATTGACAATATGCCAGTACCCATCTATACTCCTAATTAGCAAGAAGCATAATGACTGTTATGTGAGAGCCAGGTGTTTTTGCCCAAACTAACAACAAATTGACCCCAGTAAGAGCTTGAACTCTGACCTCTGATTTGCTGAATAGGCTGCAAAATAACGGGCCTTAACGTGTAGGCCCATTTTTTTCTCTTTGTTTCCAAAAGAGGAAAAAAAAATGAACAATCAGTGAATCATATTATTTTCAGAGTCAGCAGAAGCTGAGGCATTCAAACAGTCTAGAGCAGTCAAAGCAGAAGAAATTCAGTAGTGTTGCACAAAGTGATCAACAGTCTTTGAACAAAGGTAAGAAGTATATTAAATTATTTTCAGATAGCTGTGCAGATTTGTTTGTAGAGCTGGTCAAAAAGTATCACAGGGAATATATTTTAACTAGTGTTCTTATGTCAGCTGATAGGTTGCAATGTATAATAACGTAGTACATTGCAATGGTGCATTATTTTAGGTGGCAGTCCAACAGATGAAATGGATGTTCCAGGCCTAACAACACTGCAGGAAAGAATTGCAGAGGCAGAAGAGAATCTGAAGGTGAAATAGAGACATTAAAATGATTCGAATTGAGTTATCTAAAAAGGCACTGATAAAGCTTATTAATTGGATAAACTGACAGCAACAACAACATTAGACTTCTGTTTGCAATGGCAGGTTTAGAAATTTCTCATGTAAGGAAGAAACCATAGATTTGAAGAGTACATAATGACTATAAGTGCTCATTCAGGTCATAGTTAATGGAGGTGTTACAGCTATGGTTTAGTTGTTGTTTTTGGAAACATGTCAAATGAGCTCTAAACTAATGTAAATTCAGTTGGTCACATATGCACTTGTTAAATTTAATTCCTTTGGTGAATTAAATCCTTTTGTTGAATTTAATTGTTTTTTGTTTGTCAACAGAAAGAAATGAAAGTTTACTCTGGTTTTAAAACCATTTCTCAGGTACAGATCCTTTCTTTTTGCATGCTTTGATTTTGATAACCTGTTCCAAGCATTCAGTTAATTACATGAAGCACTGCTAAGAGTCACAGATTAGCTTGAAGAAAAGCAAGTGTTTTCTTTTTCCAACAGTTCTTGTCCCACCCATAGTAAATTAACTTGATTCCTGAAACAGTCCTTGGTTTAGTGAGGACACTAAATGTCTACTTTATTTAAGTACGACATAATCATTGGCAATGCCTAAGTCTTAAAGCAAGCATGTAAGTACCATGTGTCATGGGTTTCAATCTTTTTAAGCTCATGATCTAGTTTCAGAGATATTCTTTCCTGACTGGACAGGAACCTTATGAGGTGACATTTGCAATTATGGCCTGTAAAACTCTACCTGGTTTAGTTTGTTGGCCAGTGAGCCTGTATTAATGATATATTAAGCCCTGTATTGTATGGATACCTGTATGAACATGTGTAATGTTACATTTTTGCATTGTGTCTGTAGCTTGTCATGACTGACCCTGTAAAGCAGAGGGAAATGGAGGCAAAGATTTCACAGAGCCAACAAAAGATAACAGAATGGGAGGAAGAATTAAAAAATCTCAAAGGTTTGAACATTTTTTTGAAATAGCCTTTTTAGATTTCATAGAATACAGTAAGAAGACTAATTTTTCTGAATTTTGTGTATTTTTTGTACTCGGTAAGCACAAGTGTCACCTTTATGGGAATATGGGGAGTGTAAGAATAAAAAGATGAGATGATTAAATGGCACGATTTTGAGAACTGTGAAATTGAATTAGTCAACAAGATTCACATTATATGCATCTTTGAAAGACGTATATGAAAATTAATGTCAAGTAACTGTTAGCTCGTGTACCAGTTTACAAGGTCTTCATTCGTGTGATGCTCTCTTTCAGATGAGCAAGTGTTTTTGATAGAGTCACACCGGAAGAAAATGCTGAAGGTTAAAATAGGAGACTTGGAAGCAGACCTAGATGTGCGTAGTATTTTGGAATTGTAATCCAGTAACATCAGGCTTTTGCCCTTTATATGAAAAGCTGGATCGGTGTTTCAATTTTTGGTTCTCTATGCACAGACTGTCTTTACAAAAAGATGTTCCATCTTCCATCTGTCTACATTCGATGACCAAGCTCAAACTTGCGATTTTTTTATTTCTTTACTCTCAACGGGACACTCTGATGTACACTTTATTGATGATAGCTGTATGAAGCAGGCTTGTCACATACAAACTTGCATGTAGTAACTGAGTGAGATTAATATTATTGAAAAAAGACTGTTGTGTTGCGTCTCTGGGAAAGTGAAAGAGTTGGTTTTATATCAGTTGTGCGTTGATAGCAGTGAGTCAACTAGACTACTGTGAGTAGTCCCTGCTTTTCGACCGTCGCTCATATTAAAAAAAAAATCAGCGAATAAAATTGACGTCAGCGCGCGGTGACAAATTATCAACGCCTTTCTTTTTACTTTGCAATTTTTTTTATATTTTATATTCTGAAATTTTCAGAAACAAGTCAGGAGTCAGAGAAGTCTTGAAATGTTACTTGGTGTGGTAGAGGAGAACAGAAAGAAGGAGGTTATGGAAAATCTTGAAGTTTGTGCTGAGCTTGTGGATAAGATTAGAACAAAAATCACTGAATTAGAAGGTATTGTTTGGGTTAATTCTTCATACCATAAAACTAGCGAAGCTGAGCGAGGCTTTCATTTGGATTACTGCTGTAACGTTCCCAATTTCTGCTGATTCACAATGAACTTAAGAAAAGGTGCGTAATTTAGTAAGTTAGATGCAACTTTCCTCAGCAATCTGAATACAATGCCAAGCAAACAGGTCGATTTGTGATGGAAAAAAACTCGCATTATGCTAGAATGCATGCAATAGAAATTCGTTGCATATTCCTTTTTGGCATTACAGATGAAAACTGGAAAAATCTTGGAGAACTTTTACTCTGGCTGACTTTAAATGAATTTTAGAAGTCTCTGTTGGGTCAGTGACGAAAACTTTGAGAGAATTACTGGGAACGATGCTAATTCGAGAAAACTATTTGGTACTTGACTCGAATACTTATTCAAAGAAACAAAGTGGCGTTTTTTGAAAGGAGGAAATAATGAAGTTTGTTGTTCCTCGACAGCTTCCTTGCACAGTCTAACAGAAAAGCCAGCTGCATCAAGCCAAAAGCATATGGCAGAACAGAGACAACGAGTAGTAACTGAACTTATCAATACAGAGAAGGATTACTGCAATGATCTTGAGCTTTGTGTAACTTATTTTCTTCGTGAGCTACAAATTTCTCAGGTTAGTTTCGGGTGCACATACAAGTGAGATGTCGTGCGTTTCTCCGCCCGCGGGATGATTTGAGACGAGTCGGGGAGTGGGGAGAGGTTTACCGGCGATCATTATCTGCGTTAGACCCCTAGACCTCTCGCAGACTTGCGTCGCTCCAGGCCTCATACTTTCTCACCCGATCATCCGAAAGTAGCGAAGGAAAAAGGTTTCTAGTAAATTTCGAATTAATTTGGTATGCTGTGATTTTTTTTTCCCTCAGGTGAAGGACCTCGACTGTGAAGGATTGTTTGGTAATATCGAGAGTGTCCTGAAAACCTCACAGAAACTTCTAACCAGCTTAGAAAATGCTGTCGATGATACGAAAGGAAATGATCAAGAACTTGGTAACGTGCTTATTGCGTGCTTGTGGATGCTAAATTTTGCTATGGTTTAGCCTGTTACATGTGTTCACTTAGTAAACCACAGCGAAATCGCAAACGGCGCCATGGTATCGGTGGAACGAGGGAGGTCTGGGTTTGGGCGTTTATTTATCCATTGAAGGAACTAGAGTCGCTTTAAATGTGTCGATCAGGTAGCTAAGAGTTACTTCTCCATCTCTACAGGAAAGTGCTTTGTGGACATAGCTGATGAAATGAAGGAAGTTTACGCTGTTTATTGTAGAAATCACGATGATGCTATCTCGCTCATGGAAAAGGTAAAACTGTACATCAACTGTACGTCCTCTCCACATAAAGCAGGTTTTCACCTGCAAAGGACTTTTAGTCTTAGTTGTAAGAGTGCTTTCTTCCTAGTGAAAATGCAAAATCAGGGACAAAAGCCGAGCCACAAACTTAAGAGAATCTAGGTCAGACGAATTAGAACAGGTTTAATTTCTTCCAAGTCCTTGTATGATTGATGTATATAATTCAGTGAAAACTAGACAGCATACTGTGGGAGTCCTTGGCGTAAAGCATGATAGCTTATTATTATATGAGAGACTGATACTGTTTATAATTGCATTTGCAGTATGAAGAAATACCAGATATACAAGATGCCTTTACAAAGTGTCTGGACAAAATTAGGTAATTAAAAGGGTATTTGAAGAACACAAAAACCGTTGGTTACCAACTCTTACTTAGTGGCTGATTTGTGTCGGCAGCGAATTAAGCGCAGGCCCGACAACTGAGCTCAGTTGATAAATAATGCTTCTTGATGATGGCGACAAGGACATCTCAACCAGCGTTGGTTTAATTGCACTTTAAAATGATCATAGAACGTTTTACTTCATGTCGGCTGCGTTGTTATCCTCGTCAAATCTTTTGTATTCTCGTTGTTGTTAGGGAACACACAAGGTGTTGGGACTTGCCATCGTTTCTTATCAAGCCGGTCCAACGAGTTCTCAAGTATCCGCTCTTATTGAATGAACTGCTCAAGGTACTGTAACCGCCCTTCTCTAAACTGCTGAATTTCAAGCTCTCCAGTACTAGATATTGTTAAGAATGCAAAGTGGAATCCAAAGATCTGCAGAGGGGACATTTTGCGAACTTTCAGAGGGTATATGCGCCTGGTGTGTGTGTAATGAGTCCCCGTCCCCTCCCCAGTTGCAAAATACCTTGCCACCTACAATAATTTACTGTATCTAAAGAAGTACTGCACTAAAGTGAGGTTATGAAGGAACAATGGGTATGATGTTTCTTCAATGTAGTGCAACTGCGCTGCCGAATTCTGTTATATTTATTTCTTTTTTCTAACAGTACACGGCTGAAATCCACCGAGATAAGTACAACTTGATAAAGGCTATATCAGTCATGGCTGATGTGGCAAACGCCATCAATGAATTTAAAAGGAGAAAAGATCTTGGTAAGTTTGCGCAGTGTAACTTTTTTTTTCATTTGTTTGAATTTCTGGTTGTGAAAGTCTTCATTTTGGTCCAGTAGCAAAAACACTTAAGGTTTTTCTTTCCATTTTTGAATAGTTGTCAAGTACAAGAAAGTAGAAGACAGTGGTTTAACAAACATGATACAAAAACTAAATTGGCATTCAGTTGTGAAGAAAGGATCCAGATTTAATCAGAGGCTGACACAGCTCACAGGACTCGTGTCACAGGTATTTGATAGAAGAGATAATCTGATTGGTCGATGATAGGCTGGTTGATGATTTATGAAGGTTTTCAGGCAAAATTTTTGTAACGTTTTTCTCTGTATAGTGGATATTTTTATTGTTGCCGCAAAACAAACCTCACCCAAACAACAACTAGACAAATTATACCTACACGGTCTGGGTTTTTGTAAATTACCTTTCTGAACTGCCTCAAACCGACCTCTTTTTTTCATTCAATCGCATCGGTTGGTCTCAATACACACCTTTTTTATCCATATAGACTGACTTTTGCTTATCTTCTTTTTTTATTGTTTCCTTTGAAGACTGTCGACGAAAAGTTCATTGAAGAAGAGAAAAGATTCCGCACAATAGAGAAAACAGTAAAAACGATGTTGAAGAACATTTCTGCTTATCTGGAGGACTTTAAGGTCATCTAATGCTACAAGCTGTTATTATAGTGGTTAAAAACTTTCAGCTTTGAGAAGAGCGGTTGTTTGGTTAGGGAAGGTCATTCGGAACCAATGCTTAGCGGATTTGATATCTTTATAACTTTAAAACTCAAAGATACAATGTAAATCTTAGGAAAGCCGACGCTCAAAGAGGCTAAGTGCAGTGCACGCTCTTTTTTCCTGCCAAACTGGTGTCACGGCCCAAATTTCCCGCCAAAATTTCCGCTGTCGTTTGTTTCTACCTACAGTTTGCGTTGACTGATGTAAACAATTTTCAGCAAGGTTGAACCTCACATTGAAATGCTTCATCCATGTTTAGGAAGCTATGGAATGCCACAAGTGGTCAGGGCAGAATGTCAGCGACTTTTATCAAGAAGCTTCAACGTGCTCTGAAGTTTCCACTTTTCAGAGAATACAAATGAAGATTGGTGAAACTGTTCTAACCAGATTCGTAAGTGTATTTTTGTTGGTTCGGATTCGCGATCGAGATCATGGGACAAAGTTTAACCGTTTGCTCCGAAATAGTTATATTATTAGCTGGTAAACAAAAATTAAAATGACAGTCCTCCTCTGCCATGAAACTTGATAAAACAAAATTACATTGCCCCTCAAGAGGAAGTTGCACGATTAGCACACTTGTCGAAATGGTCTTCTTCAATCACATATATTCTGCTTTTGGAAATTTATCAACCTTTCTTAATCGGTAAAACTCATGCTTAAGACATTTTACCTCGAAATTCTTGTTCGCATAAATAAGACATGCGGACTGACCTTTTTTTAGCGCAATGAGTATTTATTGACTGTCTGAATTTTAGAACGAGGATTTGAAGGCGTTTGTTTCATATCTTTTCGAGGACGTTTGCAACAGCCGTATCAGGAAAGATGTCTCGCTAACACTTGGACTGTATTTGTTTATAAAATTCCTTATTTTTAAGGACGTTTGCGGTAACTTTATCATGAAAGAAGTCTTTCAAACGTTTGGTCTTTATGAAATTTATCCCTCGACAGATGGACAGTGTTCAAACGCAGGTTTTATCCCCGCTCAACTCCTTACTCAACTTGTTTCAAGGCCCCCAGCGTTTAATCCAAAAACGAAACGATAAATGCTTGGACTACGACCACAGGTCAAACAAGATTGACAAGATTAAAGACCGAGAAAAGTTGAAAGCGGTGAGTTGTAAAATAAGGTGAAAGCAGGTGGGAAAAAATGGTAGACTAGCCGGCGGTTTTGGCCGCGGGATACCGGCTCCTTTTGAGAAGGGAATAATTCTCTGAGAACAATTATGACTCAGAATCTTTGGATCAGGATGGTTAAGTTTTATGTTTCAGTAAAGGATGCTGTGTGATTTCCGCCGGACTGAAATCTTTTCCAGGCTAAAGAAGAGCTGGAACTTGCGAAGAAAAACTACGAGGCTTTGAACACTCAACTGCTGGAAGAGATCCCTGGGTTTACTGAGAAGTGTATAGCTTTAGTTCTTGACTGTCTGGAAAACTTTGCTATAGCACAAAAGAAACTGTACAATGAAGTTCACGAAGACTACGACCAACTTTTAGAGGTACTGTGATTTCCACGTGCATGCAAACATCGTAAATGAGCCAGGCGAAGATTTTGCAGCCGTATATGGCAGTTTTTTGCGGCCTACTCTGGGTGTTTCTCAGAAGTAGTTTAGAGCATTTGATCAGGGTCGAAGGGTCTATTCCACCCAAAAACCATTTCCCTTAACCCTTTGACTCCTGAGAGTGACTAACATCCAATTTCTCCTAACAACATCACCCCTTAATCACACATCACACAAGAGTAAAGGAAATGATCACCAACTAAAGAAGGTCTTGATTGTTTAACAAATTCTCTTTGTCAGCACTTTAAGAAATGTATAGAGAACAGTTTGGAGAATATGTACACTGATGTCAGTTTGTAGACGGTTAAAAAATTCTTGATTTAGTGTTGACTGTGTTGTCTTCCAAAAAATATCGTTTATGACGGAAACACATGGAATAGAAACGCGTTTGATAAACAGAAAAAAATGCACATCTGTGGCCGGAGGTTACAAAACTTAATTCAAAGTCAGCTTTCATTTTTGATGGCGAATTAAGCAACGTTGGTCGATTCTAAGACAGTTTCAAAGTGTTAAGTTAACTGTGAACGTTTAGGTCTGACATTTTGTTGATGAACGTTTTGCTTTTACAGCTTCCAGTTGTGCAGGAAATCGACGAAGACATTATCGAGCATCACAGCAAGAGATCGATGCAAGTTATGGAACAGTTCTCAGAGCTCAGCTTTATACCTTGTAGTTTTGTGGCAAAAGACAGTTCTCGGAAGAAGAGGAGATCTGTGATAAAAAGCCCAAATTTACTATCCAACCATCTTGTAAGTTTGTTGTGTAAAACCCATCGTGTAGCTTCGAGCCTTGTCGTCACACCATTCCACGCATTTTAAGGGATCGGTCATTGTATTACTGCCTGACGAGGGGGAGACGGGGGGAAAGTTTGGAGGATTTTAGTTGTGTCACGATAAAGTTTACCTGATCCCCAACCATTAGGCTCTGTAATGTTTTCATTACCTCCCCCACCCTTCACCCCTCATTGGAAGTTGACTGGCTGACAATTTTCAATAGTCCCCACTTTATACTCTGTTGGCGACGACTGATTCCCCTCTCTCTCCCCTGAAAACTTGGTGATCCTCTAAAATCCTCCAAGCCCCCTTTCTTTCCCCCCCCCCCCCCTCACCACCACCCCGGATATGATTGATGACTGCTCCCTAAGTGCTGATAAACTGATCTCGATTTGTGTGTAGTTCCGACGGAGATTTTTAAAGGTTCTCTCATGTACGACAGTGTTACTTGTATATGTACAGCGTAACCTCAAAACCAGTAGGTTTGATATTTTTATCTTTATCTTGATTCTGATTTGTGTGAATGTTTCATTTTTATACTGTTCAGATTTATATTCTCTTGTTCAGTAATTATTTTGAAATTTAAATGTTATTATTCCACTACTAGAGAATTTGAAGGTCACAATGAACGCAGGTTATCGAAATTACTAAGCGTTTTGACTTATTTCTTTGTATTCTATCTATCTAGGATACGGTAGAAGATGATAACGGAAACAAGACCAGTTTATTAGATTCCACGCCCAACGAAGAGGGTGAAGAGGCTGGGGTGGCCAAGAGAGAGGATCCAACATCCCCTTCTCCCAGGATTCATCAACCACGACCAGCACCTCGAAAACGTAGTAGCGTAACACAACCTGTAAGTCACTAAATGAGCACATTTTAGTTGTTGAATAAACCGACCACTTCGTTGAATTGGAAAATAACAGTTAAGTGCGTTGCCGTAGTTTGTTTGACGATTTCATGATTTTTTTTAGGTATCTGGAGGTTTCGCCCCATTGCAAGTTCGACTCCTATTGCTTTTTGCAAGTTTGCTCACAAAATCATTCAAATCGTTTCTTTACAGAAAAAGGTATTCTTTTGAAATCAAAGAACTTATTCTGTTAAAATCAAAAGAAAATGAGTTGAAAGAACTGGGGGCGAACTCACTTTACTTCTGGGGCGAACTCACAAGGGTGGTAGGGGGAAACTTGCAGTGTGGCGAAACCTCCATTGATCATTTCTTCATCAGGAGATAAGTTGGGCTGTTTACGCTGTTGAAAGCTACATGAATTTTTGTGATCAGCTGTTTGATTGTTCATTATCATCGATCATCTTCACATGCAGCATTTGAATCTTTCATCGACTCTCAGTGGAGTGAATTTGCAGGCGTGACAACCATATAGTACGTAGTTTACCTCGTATCTTTTAGGTGTCAAAATAATAGCGAAAGCTGTGATGATCTAAATGGGTATTAAAAATATTTTTATTTTTTTATAATTTATTTGAAAGACGCACAAATTTGAAGAAACCTAGCACCTCATGTGTACGTGAAAGTGATTACGAGACTCTCTTTAGAGACGGGCGTAAATACTGAGCTAGAGCGAAAGAATGGAAATCTTTTTTCTCCTATTCCTAGGGGCCCAACGAAAATGACAGCTCACTTTTTGAAGGAAAACTTCCCGTAGATAGCAAGCTCTACGTTGTCGAATACAACTTCGTAGCCCAAAGTGCAGGGGAGTTGTCGGTATCCGAGGGAGATATCGTGTCCGTCCTTCGACACACGGACAGTAGTGGTAACCCAGAATGGTGGCTGATTCGCTCAAATGCTGGTTCTACGGGTTTTGTACCGGAGAGCTATTTATCTCCGGTGGATGACGGTGTCAGCGGAGGAGATGGTCAAGACGATGCTGAGGATGATGAAAGTTCTTCCCCTAGCAATTTGACGACAGAGAAGAAGGATCAAGATACAAGCGCAGTGGAAACTTCAGCTTCATTATACTACTGTGCTGATTTCGCGTTTGAGGCCAGCAGTACAGCAGAGCTTAGTGTAAACGAGGGGCAATTAGTTGCCGTTTTACAAAAGCAAGATTTGACAGGGAATGACGAATGGTGGCTTGTTGAGGCACAAGGACAAAAAGGATACGTTCCTTCGAGTTATTTAACACAAGTGGATCATTGAACTTGCTTATTGCAAGTTTCTGATATTTCTTCAAAAGAGCGAATCACTGGAAAATTTTATTGAACTGAATGCTCTGATTTATTCGTGTGAACTGATTCATTTTTCGCGCGTACTAGTTCATTAGAGATCATAATTGTACAAGGGTTAGAACCGGTACCAGGTGCGGTAAAAGCTGCATCAGCTGAAGGATAAATTATGCTTCTGATTCGTTGAGAAGGAAATCGTTAGGAGTGAGAAAAATTCCTTGGAAACAATCCATCATTAAGTAAGACTGTTTGAGGCATTTACTAAATACTCAGAGTCGTGAGGCTCAAGGGCGATATTTCAAGACGGTGAATGAAGTCTTGCTAGCCAGTGACATCGGCCAAAATGATATAATGTGAATGCCGATGAATTGGAAGTCTACTCATATCGGGTTTTTTTTTTCAACCCAGAGAGCGAAAGTTCAAAGACTTATCTTGCAGCTACCCGTTTATATGGCATTGCTTTCCACAAGCTAGGCTACATTGTGGGCTGATAAATAAGGGGTTAATTTTGTAAATATAAATATAAATTGGTCACTGTAAAGAGTCTCTAAAGCTAAAGTCTCGAGCTTTAGCCCTTAGTCAGAGCTAGTGAACTGTGGGCAGTTGACAGCCATTTGTCAGTATGCCAATTAGTTTGTTACTAGTTTGATGCAATAGCTGTTCGTTTTGCCTGACGTTCTTCAATGAACAATATTGTGGCTTTTTCTGCCGTAACGTATAGTTGTTACTCAATCTGCTAACGTTATAGGGGAGTACTACTCCAAATTATTAATTTCAAATGTGAAGTCATTTGATTTATATGCTGGAAAGTCTCATACAGATATGAAATGTTACGTTTGCACAATTACCACAATTACCACAGTTCTGAGCAAAGGTATGTGTATTCATTTTCCAGTGGAAGATTCCAACAGCTTTCCTTGCATGTTAAATTTTGTTGTAGATAGTCAACGCTTTTTTTGTCCTTGGGCAAATCAAGCCATACTCGTAGATAGATTATTTTGAAATTTTTTAAGAAACGTGATGAAAGAGGTTTTTTTTTTGCTTAACAGTTTTTGAGGAAAGAAATAATGCATTGCTTGTAGATGGTCCATTATAGAAAAATTAGAATTACATATGTTCATTTAAAAAAAAATAAGAATCAATAATTTTATGCACACAGTGTTGTAAAGCCAAATATTTGCTCAAACTGTGTCAATTTTAATGAATTTATGGCATAACAATTACCAGGTGAATGCCTTTATACAGATTTTTTTTTTTTTTAATAAAACCTATGTTCAACATTTTACAGACTGCAGGTTTGTTTGTTGCCATTATCATTTTAATTGTTCCACTATTAATAACCAACTTACTTTAGCTGGACTTTTGGGAATTTGCTTGCCCTTAAATCTACAACTCAGCTCCACACAGAATTTTGATTTTAAGGCCTGCTCTTGTTTGGGTCACATCAACCTTCTGACTTTATCACCTTGAGTGAAAGTTTGTTCATGTTTTCATACCTTTGTGTGGGTCTTAAACACAAACAGCATAAAAGGAAGTGATCCAGAAAAAAAATTGTGCCACTTTAAGACCAACTAGATTGTTTCTAGTCCAATACCAGATTTGTTGAAAAGTTGGCATTCTGAGAATTACTAGCCCTGCACCCTTAACTGGTATCAAATATTGCATTTTTCAGGCATGCACCAGCTTGAAGTTGAAGGGAAATACAAGCAGCTAGTCACCTTTGAAAGGGGAAGTTGATTCCTGCTTTCCTGCCTTGCCTCTTGCACTCTGCCCCTACTGCCTTGTTCTGTAGGCAAGAAATTCAGACCACCATTCATGCAGGTTGCTCAGGAAATAAAATTCTATTTCCTGGCAACAAGGAAAGGTGAAACCAAATAGCTAAAAAGAAACTAACTCTCTATGAAGACTATTTCTGTGATGGAAATGAAATATTTTCAAAATCTAAGAGAATGCATAAAATCACAAGTAATTGTTTCAGGGATACAGAATGTTTACAAGAGCTGAAATTGGCAATTAATTTTCAATTGAGTCTATAAATTGTAACTCGTAACTCTTTGTGGTAAAACATACCACCTAATGTGAACTCACTGACTGCACATAACAAGGTTAGATGGTTCATATAATAACTTTTATTTTTGGTGATTGGCAACTGACAGCATAAATTTACAAACTATGCTGCAAAGACTTATTTCATAGTAATTAAATTCTTAAAACTTGATGAGACCTAATTAAAAGATCTCTAGGTCAAGTACATTTATTCATTTATAATTTAAAATATTACATCATTTTCAAAGTAATAAATCCTTAAACTCCCATTACTTTATAACTAACTCTCCCTACTGTCTTCCATACAATCAGTAAGATGAAAGTTTGGAGAATTTGCTACTGGATCAACTAATTATACCTTAATTAATTTTTCCCTTTTTCTTTTCATCACTAGTCAGTTTAATTCTGTGTTAACGTTGTAAGGACAAATTCTTCCTTAGTCACTACAGGTAGTAAAAGGTTGAGTAGTAACACCAATACAGGATTAATTTCTCCGACTGTCTTTACTCTGGTATCTAAACAGGGACTGGCTTTTGCATCATCACCAATATTTAATGACAAGATCCTATGTCGGATAACTCAAATTGTTAGTATTACTTATTATAATAGATGTTAATTTCCTGATTTTCTTCAATAGTTACTGGTTAATCATAAAACCATAAATTGAACTATCAGGTAAGATCTGGACAAAAATATGATCTTTACCTTGCCTACAAGTACATCAATACATCTGACAGTGACTATTTCAAGGCTAACTATGATTAGTATATACCACACAGGTGAATAGTGCTTTTCATGCATGCTGATTGGCTAGTTTGAAAGTAAATAGCAAGTATTATTCACTTCTGAGTACATCAAGAAATTAATTTCTGCCCATTTGAAATAAACATATTAACTACTTTTTTAGCATCTGTGTGGTATAAACCAAAACAAATCTTCACCTCAGTGTAAGTTAAAGTGGTGGATATTTACAAAGCCACAAAGCGGCCAAGTAAATATCCACCTCCATTCACCTCCACTATAGTGAATAACTGTTAAGTATTCAAAACATCAACCCAAAATTATAAAGCTAATTAACAAAACTATTCAGCCAAAAGAAACAATGTTTTAAACAAATAATTTGCACCACAAAGTTTCACATCTGTGGAAAAAAGATCATGATGACTTCTTATTTACTATAAAAAAGGTACTGCATACTGTAAACATTAATTTAATGCTATTTGAAAGCCACAAGATTGCACGGGCCATGCAGGAATCAAAGCACTTTACAGAAGGAATTTATGATTATTATACAGTTCCAAAGGTTCACAAATCTTGAATGTTCTGGGAACCGGACCAAATGAGAGCAGTGACATCAAGTTTGAGAAATTCTTTATCATTGTAGCAATATCTTAGCAGTTTTTTTGGTTGCAAGTTGCAGTAACTGTTCTAATTAAGTTCTGTTGTACTCAACTAAGCAGCGTTTACAGACAAGTTCTTTTTTCCAAATGTCTTGTAATTTTAGCACAAAAAACATACCAGAGACCTAACAATTACTAAACTGGCTTGATCTATGAAGACAAGAACCTAAATTAAAGTAACTCCAGTTGTTTAAAAATTTAAGTGAAAATAAGGGGAAAAAAGCCTGATTGTCTTGTAAGTCGTTTTAGGAAATACAGAACTTGTGTTTTTCTAGCAAATATACATCACTTTGTTGGTTGTAGTATTACTGGATAAGAAGAAAATGTTTCTTCAACAACCATTATTACAGTATCACTTTGTCGAGCATTGTGGTGCAATGTGTTGGCTAAAAAATTACATTTCGGCATTCTGAAATATACTTTAGCCTACTAGCAAGCTCAGCTAATTGTTTTTACTGTTTTGATGTCAATTTTTTCAGTTTTTTAAATTTGAATACTCAAGTCCATCCAAAGTGATAATAATAGTAATACAGTTTATTTTCTTGGGCAGAAATGTGCACATTGGCTCAGGTTAAGGTTGCTCTGAGCTGGCCCAAAAATTTATTTATGCCCTTGGACATTAACTGTTATTGTTTGAAAATCATTTCACTGAGAGTTGTCAGGAAAGTGGATCTTTTTTGAACCCACCTTACTTCTTCAAATGAAGTATTTGAGAGTAAAAATGAGTACAGAACCACATTCAGCAACCACAACAAAAGTCACTTGCAAAAATTCAGCCACTTTAAAATACTTTCAAAAATAACCAAAGTAATAGTTGATGTTTTTTTTGTGTCTGTGGTTTCCACTTAAGATGTAGCCTTTACCCTCCCTCTTTAAATATTGGCTGATGACCTACAGTCCAATTGAGTTTAGAACTCTGTCTTTAATCAGAGGATCAAAGCATCCATAACAGTTCTCAAACAAACACTGAGGTTTATTGTATTCCAGCAGCTTCTGGGGACCACGGACAAGGAAATGCTCCAAGCTGTAGGCAATGCAGACAATGCACTGTTCTTGGTAATCATCACACTCCTGACAGACATAGACACGACCTGAAGACTTCCCAACAAACACACCCTAAGCAAAAGAGATTGATGTTTGCTTATCAGCAAAATCGTCTAAAAACAAGTGGAATGTGCTATATGCTAACATAATAATGAAAATAAATTAAACCAAATATTCTAAAATATTTCAAAAGAATCCTACAAAGAATAACTTAACCCTTTTACTCACAGATCTCTTTAGTAATTCTCCTTACTGCCTGCCCACAATTTTTATGATGTAAATGGTTTAAAGAATTCTCCAACATGTGATTCAAGTTTTCCTTGATTCTCCTCACTTTTCTGCTTATACTGTATTGAGATTGTATGGAGAAATTCTGTTTTGGTCAATCAAGGGAGTTAAAGGATCAAAATATAAAATTCAGCACCGTGGTTTTTCTGTTCCATAAAAGATTCACTGAGCATACAGCTTAAGTTGTAAATCCCCTCAACAATCTCATCTTAAATTTTACATGTGGACCTGACTTCATTAACATGTATTCCGTGAACCTATCAATTTGGAAAAATGATGATTGCATCAACTATTTTAGGAACAACAGTGCTTCTCTCCTATTCATTTATTCTGCACTCAGGTTTAGTTGACAGCTCACAACTTTCAAACATGTTTGAAAATTCTAAATATGAGACAGGTGTGCAACTTAACAATGTGACTTCAAAAAAGGCTGACTCCAATATTGCAATTTATGAAAAAACTGGCAAAATATACTAATTATATATAATAATTCACTTTGCAAAAAGAGGGAAACTTAGAATTGGAGAATACCATTGACAAGTGAATTGTATTCTATATCATATACCCTGTGCCGCTGAAATTAACCCAAATTTAGACTTTTATTTATATTGATTTATCACAGGTCATATATTAATAAGGGTCTTAATAATTCACTAACTCGACAATTAGTAATGGATGAAAATTGTGATACTCAGAATATTAGAATTGGAGGATAATCTTTTCCATTTACACTATTAAGCATGTTCCAGTAAAAAATACACAGGTAATAAAGAGAAACCAAATGCATCTCTCACTTCATCATCTCTCACAAAAATTCGATTACCAGCACATCAATATGCAAATCAACCCCAGGAAGACAAAAACATTGTAGTCGTTGTGGTTCTTGTTTTGTTCCTAGTTGCAAATTTTTCAAATCAATTTGTTTTGTATTTTCCTTTGTCTTTTATTCAATTTTACCACACTTTGAAACAATGGAAAATAAAACTCAAACTGTTTTCTCACTGACAACATACAGGTCCTCGTAATCATGAAAGTCATACTGTTCACACATGTGGAGCTTGAACAATGACAAGCGTGAGGAGGGTGCGAAAAATATGAACGGCATTTTTTAAAAGGCACAACTAGGCAAGATCACTCGCGCATAGAGGAATATAAACAGAAATTCTATGAATCTATCTTGCAAAAGTTACTTTTGGAATCGCGACGTTTGAATTGTACACTAAAGCTTATAAAATCTGAAAAGCTTAGTCTTTCGGTATCCATTTTAAACCGCTCGTGTCAACTCTTCAACGCCGTTTATTGTCTTAAAAAAATTTAATCGATCGAGAACTCTTTAGTTGACGTTCGACATCAACAAACTGTGTAAGAATAGCTCCTTGATAGCACAAATCAACTCGAATACATAAATATAGCTGATTTATTTAAATATTTGACAATGGGTGCTAGTGAAGGAGTTATCCACTACAAGTTCAGAATATTTCCTTGCACTTCTCAAATTAACTACCTTACCTCTACCGGGAATGATAAGCTTCCTTGCAACATACCGATCTGTGCAACTTCCTCTTCGATATAGTATTTTTTCCAGACTTGTAAAGTGAAATCCTCGAACACGGTCGACTCGCCACGGCCGACAATCACTAGATCTCGATTGAAACCATTTACAATAAGCTTACGATATTTGTAGTCTTCGAGAAAAGAGTCCAATTCTCTTGTGTCGTTGACATTTAATTTCCTTAGCCGTGTAAAGAAACGTTCCTTATCTGTGGGATCCGCCAATTGAAAGGCGCTGGAAATTTCGCTATCCGCCATGATTGTTCTCTGAAGAAAAACCACACCAGCAAACGGATGTAAATTGGTGGTGAAATCTTCGATTATTTCGGACATATAAAAAAATATCCAACAAATGCAGAGCTACTGTAAGGATTCTTGTGTGTTGATTAGCTGTCTTTACGCTTCATGTCATAAAGACAAACACACAGCAAGAGTCCGCGTTTAGCAAATGTGTCAAATCGTAATAATCATAAATTATCACCAGGGAACTGGGCGAGGGGACTGTTAATCCTCTCCTCTCCCCACCATAGAAGGATTTGCTTTGCATTTGTTCATTTATTATTTGGCGACGATACCGCTGAACCGAAATAACCCTGGGCTCGATATTGACCCTAAGCTTGTAATTTCTATCAGCTCCTTTTTTCCTTGCTTTTTGGTATTCTGATGAAATACATTTAAAATTTCAAACAAGCCAATAATACTGATAATAATGATGATTACAATGTCAATGATCAAGAACAAATATGTCAATTATACAAGTAAAATGGGGCGCCCACAATAAGGCAAGTCAGAGGTAAGCAGTTATCACCAGTTGATGGTCATATATTGAACCATAAATCTTTGGAACCCTTAATCGGAAGGCTTTGGATCTTGAGACAGTTGTTATAAATACAATCTCGCCAGCGCTGATATTATAAAGAATTACCTCTGACCACTCAAAGGGCAGGAATTGAAAAAATATTTCGTGAGGTAAGGTATACTACAGTTGCTGATAAGCGCTCATGAAAGGATTAGTTTGATTATGAGGATCAACTAATGAAATTCAATCATGTACGTTTTTAAAGACGGCTTGACTTTTCCAGGCATTTCCTCAAATTAAAACTAACGCAGTGTGTAGAGTCAATACAAAGAAACTTCACAAGGATTCATGATTTATATGCTGAAGCGATATTTCGAAGCAAACTGGCATTTTCGTTCGAATTTTTGCAACGACTGCGCCACATATCTACGTGGTTTTTACATCCTTGGGAATGTTGACAAAATCCATGGACATCACTGTCTCTTAAGGTCTCTTAAGGGCAGTCAGATTTATGTTGCTCATGTATAAAAGTTGCCACATTTCTATGACGTCTCCTTAGACGTGACTGTGCTAATTACTGTTAAACTTTGCTTTTTTTTTCCCTTGGAAGTGTAATAGGAAGCCATGACTTGACCCGTTTTGTGGGAGTTGCACCCAACCCCATGCAATGGCTTATAACTGTTAAACATGATCACAAATTAGATTGTTAACTTGCATAAGAACACAACACAATGACCTGGCTGGGTGTTGAGAAGCCTGGACTATCACCTGGTCTCCTGTGCCCTGTTTCAACCACATTGTTAGTACCAGTCTTTTAGCTGGTAGCAATATTCATGCAGGCTGGTGATGGTTTAGGTGGTTGTTCAGTCTTTGCTTCATAGGTATGAAGCTGTAATCCTGAGTTGCGATACCACGCAACCCATTTCCTAGAAGATGTCAGTCAAAATGGAGGACTGGCCTAAAGAGAAGCAGGTCTTGCTAAGAAGTATTAAAGAAAAGGAGGAAAGGTTAAAAGACTTTGAGAAGGTTAGAGGCAAAAAAAAACAGTAAGTGACAGCAAAACACACAATAAGCTAATGTGCAAGAGGACATTTGGTAATTCGTGAACAAGGGAAAAAATATAAGAACCAATATACATTAAACCAAAACCATAGAAATCACAGCAGCAAATTTGAGTGGAAGAAATTTCAATAGGAGCCAACATGAGCATAAAGAAAAAAAAAAAGCAAACTGTGTGAAGGGCAGAAAAACATGAGTAACCAAGTTGTGATTGTTTTTAGTTTTGGATCCAATTTGATGTTTGTGGTGTGCAAGTTCCCTGGACCAATCAAAGACTGTTGTAAAGCAAAAACAAAGAACGTATAATTTCCCTAAATTGCGTATTGGCTATTAACTGGTCATTGAGGTGAATGTAAAATCTTGTTATTTTTGCAGAGGTTCCTTCCCACCATGATAGAAGATGAACGACTAATTTTGAGGGTAAAAAAAATGCATATACATTTAGCTGTTAGATCTTTTTATGTCATTTGTATTATTTGTAAAGATGGTGGGTTTCATTGAGATGGTTTGATTGATTTTCTCAGTCATGTCTTCTCCCTGTTGCAGTTTGCTTTAAAATAGATTAGTTGTTTTAACTCTTCAGTTCAAACATTTACATGACCTTATATTTGTAACTTTTTAAAGGAAAAGGAACTTGAAAAAGAAGTTGATGGTGTGAAATCCAAGGTAAAAAGATGTACCTAATTTTAATCAATTAGCTTGAGTTAGTATTGAGTGGTACTGGTACTGTAAGTTATGCTTGTATGAATGGTCATTTTTCTGTGTCCCCTTCCCCCCCCCCTCCCCCCTCCTTGATACACTTGTGGTCTCCATGCTCAAGTAATTTATCATTTAATTGTTAAAATTCCATATTAATTTTTTTCTCTGTTGCAAGAGATGGTTAATTGTATTTTTTCTTCTGTATGGTGCCATTAGATTGCCACTTGCAAGCAAGAAATAGAAGTTTTGAAGTTGCGGAAACAACTGAAGGTTAGTTACTCTGACTATATATAGAGGGCATTTTGATTGAGTATTATAAAATGGAAATAGATGATCAGAATAAGCTAATGAACACTTGAAGTAAAAACAAGAAAAATTCTTGAGCTATCAGAAAATATGACTGTTAGAGGACTTTCTCTGTCAGTGACAACTGATCCCCCCCCCCGAGAAGCATGTGATTCCAAAATCTTCCAACCCCTTTACCCCCCCTCCACCCCTCCACCCCCTCCACCCCCTTCACCCCTTCCCCCCATTAGGTGGTAATGAATAAGGATGAACTTCCCCAAGGCAAATTGAAGAACTGGAATTTGCTCCATTTATGAAACAAAGATAATGATATGTCTGATTTGTCAAGCAAAGGGTCTTTTTGAGGACGAGTAGTTTCAGAGTCAATCCAGAGTCTAGCATTCCTGAAGCTTTTTTTCACAACAACAGAAAAAAAGTTTCCAAACAAGGAGTTTGAACTTTTTATCACTTAATTCAATGAAAAAGTTTTATAACATTCCTTTAAATTTAAAGCACCTGAAAATTCCTGTGGCAAGCCTTAACCACTTCTGTCAGTAATTAAAAGTTTTCAGGACTTGGTATGAACTTCTTTCCCTTTGATGTGACTTGTCTATTCTGTCTTTCTTTTTACTTGGCAGGAACTTGAAGAAGAAAATGAAAGTCTAAGCTCAATACCGTAATTAAGTGAATAAAATTAGCTACTCAGTTTAACTTTCAATTTTGTGGTAACGAGTAAATAAACAATAGCCTCCATTTGGCACAAAAATATGCACGAATATTTGTCCGCACACATTATCTGTCCCGAAATGTGAACAGTTTACCGATAGCGAAGCTCGAGGAAAATGGTGAACTACGAGGAACAGATTGTTTGTTGTTTGTTTGTTGTTGTGAAGAGCATAATTTTGCGTCAAATGGAGCAACGCCCAAGAAAAATATTTACGAACAGCTAATTGTTTCCTGCGTGGGATAGTTACTTTTCATTGTCCTCTGGTACAACTTTATAAAAAAAATAAACATGTTCATTCCTCTGTAACAAGAAAAACCCCCTCTCATCTTGAATTAAATTTTGAACCAATAGTTTTATCGTTGTGGATGTGAGGTTTGAAATTTGGAGAACATCACTCGGGGTATATTTGGTAAATAAACCCCTCCACGCGGCTGGTATGTAGGCTAGTAAGGTTTGCGGCTGAAAAATTGTCTAATGGACGAATATGAGGCCGAGAAGCGAAGCTTCGAGGGAAAATGTGAAATTCTGGGGAGAATCTCTTGACCGTGGACATTATCAGCTTGCAGCCAACGTATCAGCAAGCCAAAAGAGGCTGTATGTATTTTCTAACCCTCTCATTAATTATCGTAACGCGCGTTGACAGCAAATTTTTTTGACTTTGTTGTAATTTTTGGAGTAGCATTTGAGGTCAGCTTTTAAACATCATTACCACTGGACTCTACCAAACTAGTTGTTAGGTGACAAACACTATGGCTTTGTTTCTTTTAGACGGAAATTAACGGAGGACAAATATCGACTTATAGGAGGGTTATTGCGTGACTATTGTCCGGTGATTTTGAGTCGCGAACATCAATAGGTGGGTTATTACCTGGGATATTTCCCACTTGTAGCTGGGATATTTTCGGTCACGAGTCACGTTTAGACCAATCGGACGCGAGCAAAAATATTTGATGGATTATGGGTTCTCCGATTGACATCGACGAGTGTATTCTTTTGTTAGAGAGGTTAAGCGTTGGACCTCAAAGTAAACGAAAAACATTGAATCCCTTGCTTCTTGTTTGCACCTGTTTTAAGCCTGAAGTGAAAATATTTGCATAACTGATCTTTACAGTATGCCTCCTGCGTGTGACATGAGGTTAGTAATGGCTCAGCTTACCACAGAGTCTCTGTGATTCAGGGGTAGAGCGTTGGAACTTTAATTTTTAATTCATCATGAGGTCTCCATTTTTTTCTTTGTTACACATTCGAGGCAGGAAGGAAAACATCTTTCTTTGTTTCAATATTTTTATTATTCGCGAATCAGAAATTACTTTGCTGCTTTACATGACTTCAGTTCTGATGTAGGAAGAGAATCAAATCAGAGCTACTTTTCGCCTTATGCAATAGCCGTAAACTCTGATGCCTGGTGACTATTCGAAAAGGAAGATGTTTCTTTAAGCGATTCAAGTTTGATCTTAACAATATTGGCTGCCTTTTTGAAAAAGTCTACCACATGCGCTATTTAAAAAGAAATCATGGAAAACTACACAACACTGCCGAGATTCTGAAAATATTACATGTAAATATAACTAATAATTATAACTATAATTGAGGTCTGACGGAGAGAGTACCGTGACTGTTCAAGTTATCTTTTAAATGGTTAATCAACAGTCTTCATGAGTTCTAGATGAGTCCATAACACTCCAGTGGTCCAAGCGTGTGATATCCTGATTCATTGTAACGCACAACATGACCGGTATCTCCAAATCTCATTTGAATCACGGGAAGCTTGAACTTGTCTGTTAGTAAACCGCTGTCCTCTCGCCAATTCATATCGTTCTTATCGCAGTTGCAGCCGTAACTGCTGTCCGCGCACGTGTCTGTCAAACCGCATGCACATTTAAAGGGAACAGAGTTGACTCCACCCCAGTACTTCATCTTCTCGTCATCACGCGATACCCACCAGCCGAACATGTGACCATTGAGAAGGAGCATTGAATGATAGCACTCGTATTTAATAAACTGCTCACAGTGAGAAGATGAAGCTGTTAAGCTTGCTAGCTGAATTAGACTGGTTTCATCATAAGTAACATCACGCCAATAACTACCAGGGGCTTCAAACCCAGCCACCAGTGTTCTGTTTTCACTGTCGTGACTGATAACTGTCACTCCTATCCCGCCCTTGTCAGTCATGTCACAGAAGACTTTAAATGGTTTCACTCCGCCCTCTCCATCAGGGTCGATGACATAAGAGCCACTTTTAGCCTCAGGATTGCAGTATTTGATGTCACTGCAAGTTCGATTTCCTGAAAAACAAATAACAAAGCAACAAAGAACACAATAAATTTAGAAATAAAAGATTTCATTTATCTTAATATAAAGTGCCTGACATGTACACGAAATTTATTTTCTCTTTACGGGAAATATACTTGGGGAATGTTTATCGGGGAAAAGAAGTACAATAGACCGATTTAAATTGATTCATAGGCAAAAGTTGAAAAGAGGTAAACCATATACATACAAGAATAGTAGTTTATGACAGTATGTGTTTCTTCCAGTTCTACCACATGCAACAGTAAAAGACTAAATTCAATACCTCCACGTTTGCTGCATTTGCAGTGAGTTCCGCAAAATCCAGGCTTACATTCACAATGATAGGAGTTCCTTTCATATTCAGGAACACAGACACCTCCGTTCTTACAAGGAGCGCTTTCACATTGAGACTAGAAACAAAGTGAACATTCCTTGAATCATCCAGTTTCTATTTTAAGAAATACGAATAGTGTTAAGCACCAAATATATGAAGAGATCTTACCAACGGACTGCAGTGATGGAAGGTAACATTTGCATGAACCTTTTCAGCCTCTCTGTACTTGTCTGTGGCCAATAACTCACACAGATAAAGACCTTTGGAGTCAGGATACACTGCTATGTTGAACGAATAGCACTTTGGTTCACCGACACAAAGGAAAGTGCAGTCCAACTTATCTTCCACCATGGACGATGTAAGTTTCTCTTCCCATAAGAAATAGAAAGGGTCGCACTTGAATTTACCAAACGAAGCACGGCCTGTTGGATATCGATAGAGAGCGCTGTTTTGTGTGGCAAACAACAATCCTAACAAAGAAGGAAAAAACAACAAGAGTGGCAGAAGCAGCATGACAGTAGCCGATGAACTCTCACCACCGGAATGAGCTGATGTATGACACCGAAGACTTATATGCAAATGAAAAACAGGTCCTTTATAATTGCCTGTCGGTAATTAAGAATTAGTAGCCACATCTATGAAGCAGGTACCATGAGTGGGATACACTTCTACTATAGGGGAAGTAGAGGTGGGAAAGTAAGTTTTAAAAAGTCATCTCAAATAAAACTCTCCTTGACAAACCTGCATGATACTTTTTAGCTTTTTTTAACAAGAATTGCTTTCAAACTGTTTTTTTTCTATTGAGGGGACGATGTCAATTAATACCTTCTATACAACGGGTTTCAAAAGTTTTAAATATTCATTTCAATATCTATTAACTCTGACCATGCTAATGATTTATTATATGGGTTTGAACCAATCTTTTCTTAATTTTAAAGGGATTTTTGGTACTCTGCTCCCTACTCTACAACAAACTTGAAAATAAGTTTCTACTTACTCCTTCACATGTCCCTGTTAGCAGGTTTGCTTTAAGAAGTTATGTTTTGGCTCGCACCAGGATAACAATAAATGAAATAAATTGAGATCATAAATTGGCACCGACCACAAGTTTCTTCTTTTTAGGCGGAGCAGCTGTTTATTTAATATTTTATTATTTTTATCATGCCAAGACACTTTTCTCTTAGGAAGCGTTTTTTACAAGAATTGCTTTCAAACTGTTTTTTTCTTTTTTACTGAGGAAACGATGTCTATTGATGCCTTCTATACAAATAGGTTTAAATACTATTAACTATTCATATTTCTGTAATAACTTGGTACCAACTACAAGAAACTAAAGTTGTTTTCCTCTTAAATTCATCTACGTCATGTCTGTCTGACATGTGAAGATCGGAAAACGCGCGAGCCTCGATAATGTATTTTATTTGCAAAAAAAGTCAGTCGTTTCATCTCTGTTTATTAGCATTTTCAATTAAACACTATACTGTTTTTAAATATAAACATTGCAGAGTTACTCATAAAAATATTTCCGGTAAAAGTTTCAAAAAAGATATCCAAATAAGTAAACTTACATTTGCGAAGGTTGTTTATCGAACATGTTACAGAACTAGCCAAGAATAACATTTCACTTAAGAGAAATGGTCAGATGACTCGCTTAGGATAACTTCAGGTGCACTTTGAAAAAAGCCTGCAAACAGCGTTGAATTACACCTGTTCTGCTCGACTGGAATAAAAATATATTCTCCGCCTTATGTAGGCCTGAGATGCAAAACAACGGTCTGTTAGTGCACTATAATAACAGCAAAAGACACCTTGTCGGCAGGAAATACATTGGAGAGAACGAACAATGGGGGTTTTACCAGCGATAGCTGTTTAGAAGGATACCAATCAGGAACCAAAAAAATTATTTAACTTCAGTCAATATACCAAAAGATCGTCGGAAGATCTTTGCAACCTCTGGTATTATTTAATTGCGCTTAAACTTGTTTAAGCGTCAAAATGCGGAATGCCTCCGGCTTGCAGAAACACTAATTAATTCAATCCACTGTTATACAATAAAGGAGAAGGCGTCATGACTTTGGCGAATATTCAGATATTTTGACACGTTGTGTATCATGTTTAGAAAAGTTGATGCTATGATATTATATTTTTATGCCTTTCTTTTATCTCTCATTCCGAATGCGCTTTATATTTGAAATTAAGTTAATCGAGAGGAGAAACTGTATAAACTGAAAAAAAAATGCAATTTTTATTTGAACACCTAAGTAAATATCGTCGCCAAAAAATGTATGGTTAGTTCAACAGAATACTCTCGTAAATCAATAGGCTTAGACTTTTTGCTCAACAGTTTATGCAAAGCGCTATATTGAAACAAAACGGTGGCAGCAACATGCACTTTGTTGCTTCGTTATCAATATATATTCAAACTTCACCGGAAATGATCATAAAGTAAAAAGATATCGAGGAAACTTTATTTACATGATGGCTTAAAAGAATCATGATTTCCCTGTGATCGTATTTTCTGATCATTTCATTGCTTTGCGTCGCCAGATTCTGATGAATTAAAACAGGACCGACTTCAAGGGTATTTCAGAGCATTTTATGAGTGAATAAAGGGGTAAGTTTCTAAAGAAACTGTGGTGCTGCGTAGGTGGGAGAGTATAGCAGGTAATTTAGTATTAACAACTGTGTTGAAAACGTACATTAGCCACCGTAAAGAGTAAAAAAGCTGACTTTTCGAGCGTTAGCCCTTCGTCAGAGCGATTGACGAAGGGCTAACGCTCGAAACATCAGCTTTTTTACTCTTAACGGTGGCTAATTTACGTTCTCAACCCAGTTGTTAACACTAAATTACCATTTAAAGAGTGGGCCATTAGTTGAAGAATAAAACGATTGATAACGTTTTTAGGCTCCATGGGTAGGGGGAGAGAAGGCGACAGTGAGTGTTAATATAATTTATCCTGAAAGGGACTGTAATGGTCACACAACTTTAAATCCTTAACATAATACATAACATTTTGTTGTTTAGTGGTATTGAGAATTCGCGTGCATATATTAAAATGTAGAAGGCGCCGACGAGAGGTCATCAAGGTCTGTCCGATGAAATGTCTCAGACAAATAATTTAATCACTTGCAAAATTCAAACAGAGGGAAAAAGAAAAATTGTAACAAAGATGAATATCTACTTTAGGCTTCGAATTCAAGTGCTAATACTACTCTTACAATCATTTTCAGATTTAGCATATTTTATTGGACCCCAAAAGGGGTGAAAGTTTGCAACTATAAAGTCTTTTGAATCTTTAATTTAAGATTTTCTTAGCAGACAAACTTCCAGCTTGGTCGTCTCCCCTTTGCTTTGGTTAACAAATTGTGTCATCATGAAAATTACATCAAAGATGTATTTCGACGAATTAGAAGCATGTATGAGTTTTGTAAAACGATGGCAAATTTTTCACCGCAGGCAACAGCTTTAGAAGTGTACTAGGAAGCCATGACTTGATCCATTTTGCGGGACTTCCATCCAACCCCATACAATGGTTTGTAACTGTTAAACATGATCACAAATTAGATTGTTAACTTGCATAAGAACACAACACAATGACTTGGCTGGGTGTTGAGAAGCCTGGACTATCACCTGGTCTCCTGTGCCCTGTTTCAACCACATTGTTAGTACCAGTCTTTTAGCTGGTAACAATATTCATGCAGGCTGGTGATGGTTTAGGTGGTTATTCAGTCTTTGCTTCATAGGTATGAAGCTGTAATCCTGAGTTGCGATACCACGCAACCCATTTCCTAGAAGATGTCAATCAAAATGGAGGACTGGCCTAAAGAGAAGCAGGTCTTGCTAAGAAGTATTAAAGAAAAGAAGGAAAGGTTAAAAGACTTTGAGAAGGTTAGAGGCAAAAAAAAAAACAGTAAGTGACAGCAAAACACACAATAAGCTAATGTGCAAGAGGACATTTGGTAATTTGTGAAGGGAAAAAATATAAGCATTAATATAAATTAAACCAAAACCATAGAAATCACAGCAACAAATTTGAGTGGAAGAAATTTCAATAGGAGCCAACATGAGCATAAAGAAAAAAAAGCAAACTGTGTGAAGGGCAGAAAAACATGAGTAACCAAGTTGTGATTGTTTTTAGTTTTGGATCCAATTTGATGTTTGTGGTGTGCAAGCTCTTTGGACCAATCAAAGACTGTTGTAAAGCAAAAACAAAGAACGTATAATTTCCCTAAATTGCGTATTGGCTATTAAATGGTCATTGAGGTGAATGTAAAATCTTGTTATTTTTGCAGAGGTTCCTTCCCACCATGATAGAAGATGAACGACTAATTTTGAGGGTAAAAAAAATGCATATACATTTAGCTGTTAGATCTTTTTATGTCATTTGTATTATTTGTAAAGATGGTGGGTTTCATTGAGATGGTTTGATTGATTTTCTCAGTCATGTCTTCTCCCTGTTGCAGTTTGCTTTAAAATAGATTAGTTGTTTTAACTCTTCAGTACAAACATTTACATGACCTTATATTTGTAACTTTATAAAGGAAAAGGAACTTGAAAAAGAAGTTGATGGTGTGAAATCCAAGGTAAAAAGATGTACCTAATTTTAATCAATTAGCTTGAGTTTGTATTGAGTGGTACTGGTACTGTAAGTTATGCTTGTATGAATGGTCATTTTTCTGTGTCCCCTTCCCCCCCCCCCTCCCGCCTCCTTGATACACTTGTGGTCTCCATGCTCAAGTAATTTATCATTTAATTGTTAAAATTCCATATTAATTTTTTTCTCTGTTGCAAGAGATGGTTAATTGTATTTTTTCTTCTGTTTGTATGGTGCCATTAGATTGCCACTTGCAAGCAAGAAATAGAAGTTTTGAAGTTGCGGAAGCAACTGAAGGTTAGTTACTCTGACTATATATAGAGGGCATTTTGATTGAGTATTATAAAATGGAAATAGATGATCAGAATAAGCTAATGAACACTTGGAGTAAAAACAAGAAAAATTCTTGAGCTATCAGAAAATATGACTGTTAGAGGACTTTCTCTGTCAGTGACAACTGATCCCCCTCCCTCCCACCCCCCCCCCGAGAAGCATGTGATTCCAAAATCTTCCAACCCCTTAACCCCCCCTCCACCCCTCCACCCCCCGCACCCCCTTCACCCCTTCCCCCCATTAGGTGGTAATGAATAAGGATGAACTTCCCCAAGGCAAATTGAAGAACTGGAATTTGCTCCATTTATGAAACAAAGATAATGATATGTCTGATTTGTCAAGCAAAGGGTCTTTTTGAGGACGAGTAGTTTCAGAGTCAATCCAGAGTCTAGCATTCCTTAAGCTTTTTTTCACAACAACAGAAAAAAAGTTTCCAAACAAGGAGTTTGAACTTTTTATCACTTAATTCAATGAAAAAAAACATTCCTTTAAATTTAAAGCACCTGAAAATTCCTGTGGCAAGCCTTAACCACTTCTGTCAGTAATTAAAAGTTTTCAGGACTTGGTATGAACTTCTTTCCCTTT